TGTGCCACGCGCACTATTTCTCCCGCTCTTTACATCTTACTTCCCCACCACATCGTCACCCCCTCTGTTATCACCCTCTGCCACCCCTCCGCTGCCCCTTTTTCGCCCCTTTACCAGCCCTCTGCCACCCCTCAGCATTCTGACGAACCCAAATAAGAGAATTCTGTTACGAAAAAATTTTTGTTTACAATTCTCCAAAAAAAAACCGCTTGCATTTTTTTTTGCTGGAGAATTTTTGAAAAATTTTCTGGAGAAAAAAAATTTTTGGGATTTAAAAAAAATATATCATATATAATTATTAGTATGCACATTTTTTTGGGGGCAGGCGACTGCCAAATTTCACTGTCAGAATAATTTTAATACTACGGTCACGTTTTCTGGAATTATTACATTTTTGTTCCACTGCCAAAAAATTTTTATTGCGTTTTTGGAGTATCATTTTAACAGCTGTTTTTTACGAGCCAACTGCAATTTCGGTTTAGCCATTCCTAGAATTGGATATTTTTTTAAAAATTCCGTGTGCAGACAAATGGACAACTATAAAAAAATTCAGTTATTACATCACTGAAACAATAATTAACTTTTACATTCATTTTTTGATGATTGAATTGTATACTCCACTGAAGTTGATGCACACTCTATAATTATTTCATAGTAAATATAAAAAGTCAATCGAATAAAAAAATCACTTATACAATTTCGAAAAAAACGTACAGATTCCGCGTTGACACACCCCGGGTGCATTCGATGCAGAAAAAAATGTAAATTGCGAGGAAATAAAATATGTATGCACCCCTAAATATTGTGTTCAACGGATTGTCACGTATTTTTCGACCCCATAGTTGGGGGGTGGGGAATGGTGACCCGGCGCCGCGACGCCCGGAGCGTCCAGAGGACAGAAAGTACCGAACAAAGTACCCAAAGTACTCTCAGGGCATAGTAAAAAGTAAAAATTGAAAATTCGAAATTTCCAAAAAAAAAACGAGGAGGTATTCACTGGAATTGAAAAATTCGAAATTTAAAAAAAAATATCAGGGGAACATGAAAATCGAGGAGGTATTCGCTGAAATTGAAAAATTCGAAATTTCTGAAAAAGTATCAGGGGAACATGAAAATCGAGGAGGTATTCGCTGAAATTGAAAAATTCGAAATTTCTGAAAAAGTATCAGGGGAGCATGACAATTGTGAAGGTATTCACTGAAATTGAAAAATTCGAAATTTTCAAAAAAATATCAGGGGAACATGAAAATGAAGGAGGTATTCACTGAAAGTACTGCGGCCAGTGAATTAGGTGCTTCTTCATTCCAGTACTTTTAACGCTTGACTGACAGAAGTACCCAATACACCGAACCGCGAAGTCCTTGGAAGTATTTTTCCAGATTTTTTCAAGGCTATTTCTTTCAAGTACCAGTTTTCCCGGTGAAAAGTACTCATTTGGAGGAATGGGATTATTCGGAAGGAGGCGAAAGCTCCGGGAGAGTTTGAATATACGGTACGCCGAAGTCAATGAAAATTTTATGGCTTCGGCAGCTGTTGTCCTCGTTTTCTCGAATATCCAGTGTCCGAGTTTCATGCGAGTCGGGTACTTGGACAAGAAGCAGAAGATGCATTAGACTTTTATTGTCGTTTTTCGGCATTACTAGTAATAATTCATTGTGAGAATTCTGCAGATGTCATGGAAAAACCGTCGATCGATTGCAGAACATTAATTATGCACTTATTGCACTGACAAAAATTATGGCATTACTCCAATATCAGAAATGTATATCGATATATCGGTATATCGAGAATTGACGCAGGACCGCTCATTTTTTAATCGATGGAAGAGGAGAGTTGAATTTCGAGAAGTGACATGATTCGCTTAAATTCCTTAACGCTATTTCTACGCCATTCTCTCGGTAATTGTGGAATTTTTTTTTTTTTATAGAATTTAATAGAGCTATGACAACTCTACATCGCTGCAATGGCCGCGTGAACTCATTCCGAGGATTCGAGACGTGCGACTTGGTCAACGCGAAAAACCAATTACGAGTTGCGACAGAAGTAGACGGGTATAGAGGAAGTGCTCGTCAGCGGCTTTTGGCAAGTGCTCAGTGATATTTTTGATACCAAAAATAATCCACCAGTTGAGTAAATTGAGAAAATAAATAGAATATTATTTTACGTTTGAATCCCGAGTTATTCATAAAAGAGATGATTCCGGAAATACCAGAGTCACAATCAAAACCTTAAACCTCTCAATTTATTATTTATTTTTTTAATTACCTAATCAATATAATCATAATGTTTCCATAACTTGGATTACTTTCAATGAATTCAAGGAATTCGTAATTCCTACTACGATAGAAACAGGATAATTACTTTAAATCCTGTGAATAAATTTTATAATAAATTTTTCTCGGCGGAATATTCCGGAATATTTATTAAAAAAGTGACCGGAAAGCCCTTAACTAAATTGGCCAGCATAAATCTCCGTAATGCCTGGCGAGACCTTGGAAATGAGCCCCAGAGCGTCAGTAAAAAACCATTGACCCATTAACAAATGGTCCATTGATGTCCACATGACAATCAGACGTGTAATTCCATTAGTGCGTGATTCACCCCAGGGTGTTGGTATCTGAATCATCACAAGGGTGCACCACGAATAGGCATCGGTAGATTGAGGGAATTCGTTTTGAGATTCTGATTCTTTGAGCTTATCTGCTTTACCGCCCCCCGTTTCGATCGATTGCGATGATATCGCAGGGGATTGTGAAGGAAAAGAGAGAAGACGCCTGGCGCCAGCAGAACCATTGGCGCCGGGGGGCGCCGACGAGTTTTTCCTTCTCTATATTTCCCTCCGACTCCCATCATTTTCAATCTCAACATCTCCGTTGAGCTCATTGTCTTCTGCTTGCACTGAAATTGGGACACTCGTGTCGATTGCTGATCGATACCAATCAATGCGACAATCCACTACAGCGCAAACCCTAAATTTCTTAAATATCCGATAACGAGGGGAAATTTCGTTATCTGCTGAAGACGCAGAATTTCGTCGTGTTTATTTTTACAATTTATAATAATATGTTGTATTGTTTTTCTTTGAAAATTTATCGAAGAGGTATTCACTGAAATTTGAAAATTCGAAATTTACAAAAAAATTGAGGAGGTATTCGCTGAAATGGAAAAATTCGAAATTTTTGAAAAAGTATCAGGGGAACATGAAAATTGAGGAGGTATTCGCTAAAATTGAAAAATTCGAAATTTCTGAAAAAGTATCAGGGGAACATGAAAATCGAGGAGGCATTCGCTGAAATTTGAAAATTCGAAATATTCAAAAAAAAATCGTGGAGGTTTCCGATGAAATTAAAAAATTCGAAATTTTTGAAAAAGTATCAGGGGAACATGAAAACCGAGGAGGTATTCACTGAAATTTGAAAATTCGAAATTTCCGAAAAAAATCGAGGAGGTACACACTGAAATGGAAAAATTCGAAATTTCCAAAAAATTTTTCTTTGAAAATTTATGTTTGAGAGATGTATTTTGAAAGCAGAGGGAATATATGATCCGATAGTATTGGGTTTTCAATTTTTATGGAATTATGCCACAAACATTCGTATCAGCGATTTTAATAAAATCGGTCAGTTATGTAATTGACAAGATCGTCAAAAAAAATATTTTTATCGTTATTAGTTGTTAAAAATTGAGGGTTTTAATTGTCAGTCTCGAAATGAATGTCGAATAAAAAAGGATATCAATTTAAAAAATCAATTCAATTGGTAATAACTCTTCCATCGAGTATTATTGTAAATAATCGAATAAATTATGGAAATTATTATTGCAATTTCCATGGATTATCAATGATAATCAGATGATGTGTCGTTATCATGTTTTTAAGGAGTCTGACGAACAAAATGTGAGTAAATATCGAGGGGTGAAATGCACGTTATGACTAAGGTCCTGGGGTGGGAAAGGGGAGGACGGGGGTTGGATAGGGGGTTGAAGTGGGAATGGCGAGACGCATGGCGCCACATTGCCGCGACCCAAATAACAATAATGCTCTCATGTGGGATGACGATGGACGTTGGGATGCTGGAAATATGACGAACAGCGATTTTACGCAGTCGTAATACTAGTTTTGTCGAGGGATTATGTGGAACAATGGCCTAATGACCGCCTTGGCTTCCTCATAGAAAAAAAATACAAGTTTACTCTAATATGTGAAACCTCTACCTTTGATCCAACATTCTAATAATACGAAGATCAAAACAAATTTCAAGTTCGATCGGAGAGATCAGGAGTCAATTTGAAATTTTTTAATTGAATGTAAGATTATGAATATTTTTTTCATTTTTTATTTTTTCAAGTCCTGAAAATTCAGGATCGATTTGATCATGAAGATTGAGATCTCAAATTTAAAGTGCTCAATACATTGGATTTTTTTTTTGTTTCGTGCATTTCTGCTGTAACACGTATTATCGCGGCATCTCTGGAGTAAATCCAGAGATCATCGTCTGCGGTACCGACTCCTGGACAAAAAAATTCGTATTATATCGCGCATTGATATCATCCCATCAACAAATGGTCCCGTCAACGTCGTCTAAAATGCATTGTTATAAAAAAATTGATGCATTTCAATAATAAATGGAGAATTAATTCATTTTGATAGTAGAAGAGGAAAATTCATTGATCGGCCAAAATTGATTTTAAAACTCACGCGCGCTTTTTTTCGCAAGGGGTGGGGGTATCCAAGATGGCGATCAGGCACCAGCGCCATATTTCAAAGCGGCATTATCGTGAAATTTTAAAAGGTTATGATTCCCACGTGCGTGTTGGTCCAAAAATTTGACGTTTCCCTTGAAATTGATCAAAACAGAAGAAATAAAATTCGAAAAAAATGCCGAAAATACGGGTGGAGAAGAAAAGCCGAGTCCATGAGAAAATCGCAAAACAGGGTAAATAAAATGTCTCTCTTTCATGATTTTCCTAAATATCGGAAATCTTATCTTTCAATTTTAGTAGAATTAACAAAATTTCAAAGATATTCTCAAACTTGAATTATCGAAATTATGAATTAATTTCAATACAATTAACTTAGAAAGATGATCTGCAATTGAATAATTATCAAATAAATAACAACTTTAATAAACGAATTGCTGGGAAATAAACAAATAAATAAATATATGAACGATCGCACCAAAAGGTGTGTGAGGAGAAGAAAGGGGATAAATGCACAACAGTAATTCTTGCAACTCCTGATGATTCTCGTCGTCAGGTATCATGTTCAATAAGGACTTTGGCCAGCACATATTGAAGAATCCTCTGATAATCCAGAGCATGGTGGAGAAGGCAGCCCTGAGGCCCACCGATGTTGTCCTCGAAATCGGTCCTGGCACAGGTAACATGACCGTCAAAATGCTGGAGAAGTGCAAGAAGGTCATTGCCTGCGAGGTGGACACCAGGATGGTAGCAGAATTGCAGAAGAGAGTCCAAGCAACACCTCTCCAGTCCAAACTGCAGATTGTCGTTGGAGATGTGCTGAAGGCTGATCTACCGTTCTTCGATCTGTGTGTCGCCAATGTACCTTATCAAATATCCTCACCGTTGATGTTCAAACTCCTGCTGCATCGTCCTCAGTTCAGGTTGCCTTGCAATACTTAAATCAATACCTGGACATCCTCAATTCGTTGGATACTCAGATAAATGTTCAATCGTGGATTAATAATTAATCGTCAATCACTCGGATGTCGATATAAATTCACTGAACAATTTTTTTTATTCGTGATAATTATTTCGCAGGTGTGCAGTACTCATGTTTCAAAGGGAATTCGCTGAGAGATTAGTTGCCAAACCTGGGGACAAGTCCTACTGTCGATTGAGCGTAAATACCCAATTATTAGCGAGAGTCGACATGTTGTTGAAAGTTGGGAAGAATAATTTTAGGCCACCCCCGAAAGTCGAGTCAAATGTCGTGAGAGTTGAGCCAAAAATTCCACCGCCACCCATCAATTATCAGGAGTGGGATGGATTAACGAGGATAGCTTTTGGCAGGAAAAATAAAACCCTCTCGGCGTCTTTCAAACACACCACTGTACTGGAAATGTTGGAGAAGAATTACAAACTCCACTGCAGTCTTAATAATAAGGTAGACTTTATGCAGAATATCTCTAAAATTGAAATCTTATTCATTTTTTTGCCCCAGGCAATACCTGAAGACTTCGATATCAAAGCACTAGTCATCGAATCACTAGAGTCTGCGAAAATGACGGAAAAACGTGCCAGAACGATGGACATGGACGACTTCATCAAGTAAATATCTCCATCCCATTTAATTAATTCGTATTATCCAATTGAATTATTAATTTCTTTTTATTTCTCTTATTTTAGACTTCTCCACAGTTTTAACTCTTCGGGTATTCATTTCGCGTGAATCCTCCACATACGATTATTTTTCCAAAAATCCATGTTAGAACTGAATAAACTCTATTTATATTCGAGCATGATGTGAATTTGTGTTCATTAATTCATAATTGATTAATAATAAAAATGATAATGGACGTGGAGATAGAATTGATCATGTCAGCCATTTAGCCATCAAATATCGATATTTTTTCATTCGTATGTACTTGCGAAAAGTCTTCGCTAGTTGGTATTGTACTGGGAATAGAGGTAGTACTGTGGGGGTGGGGGTTTTTCGCGTCTAGGGTAACGGTGAGCCCTGAGAGAAGTGGAATAGTTGGGCATTGGGATGCGAGAGTGAGTGAGCTCTGCACGAGGAATGAAAATTAGATAGAGAGAGATGGTAAATGGGAACGACGATCCAAGAGGGAAAACCGTTGGGGGATGAGGGTCCCCGAGGAGTCAGTGGTCTCCTCTGGTGCTGGCAGCCCACGAGAGAGAGGGACGGAAGAACTAATCAGCTTGGCGCATGTGCTCTGGACTCCTCCATGATCCCATGGGAATATCCTAGCATCCCCATAATATACAGGAGTCCTCACTCCTCCTCGTACCCTCTTTTTCACTCTCTCACGTTAACATTTCTTTCTTTTATTTATTTTTTTTATTTTACTCCTGTTTTTTTGTTCATCTTTTTTTTTTCCACTCTCGTTTTAAGTTTTCTACGGTATCCCTGACAGTATTCGCTGATGTCGAGAAACGTTGGAATTATTTTCCATTTTTTACGGATTTTTTTGGGGCGGGGGGTGTGGGGCCACCGGAAGGAACGGGGGGAGGTTTTTTGAGGGACTGCTTGAGGCTGCATGTTAATATTAATTGACGGGGCTTTAATGGAACTCCCTTGGTACACCTCGTCAGGGAGAATGGGTTAATATCTGGTGGCTCATCAATTATTCATTGGTATCAATTTTAAGGGGTTGCTGGGTTTTATATGGATTGCTTGATAGTGGTTGTGGGGATTCAACAGTTATTGGGGAATTATTATTTAGGAACTATTCGTGGATTTATATGAAAAACTTATTAATTGCGAAAGGAGATATTGAAGCATCAATTCTTCAAGAATTTCAATTATCATTGTCTTTTAATGCGTCCATTGATTACTCCACAATTTCAGAGATTAATAGTGAATTAAGTGAATAATAAAAAAGTATTTATCCATGTCGTCTCAATGTTTTTCATTACCGAAACGATGAAAAAGTTGCCAGAAAATCAAAAAATCAGAATGAAAAAAGCTGTTGAGCAACTAAACAAGAATGCAACAAAAAAATATCACTCCCGAATCCCCGAACAGAATTCGCCAATTAATTGTTTATCCCGCTGGAGGAAGAAAATAAAAAAATGTCAGATAAATGATAATTGTGATAATTAGACAAAAGAAGCAAAAAAATAACAAAAAACGGGAAAATGTAAATAATGAGCTGAAGGGTTGATCATAATTATAGTCAGTGTTATCGTGATGAGTTTCAACTCGACTGAGACGAGCATATGACAGATAAACGAGCAATAGGTGGTGGGGTTGGATAAATTTAGCGGGGGGTGGTGGTGAGGCGGGTGGGTGGCGGGAGGGTGAGAGAGGGAGAGGCTGGGTGTTTCACGATCCCGCCTACCGTCCAATGCGGTTGCTGGTATCCCAAGGGGTCTCCCTCAGCCTCACCTTCTCCTCCTGGTGTACAGGGTTCCCTTTCTCCATGAGTCCGCAAACTCCGTAACTGCTTCTCCGGAGGTCTCTCTTGCAAACTGGGGGTTGATAATACCGTACACGACTAGGACCCCCTTCAGTGTTTGCCTATAGCCCTCACAGTGAAGTCAAGAGTTATCATTTTTTTTTTAATATTACAAATCATTTTATCCGATCATTTTTACATTTATTTATTATTCCATCATTATTCCGTCATTATTGAGTCGTTTATCGATTGCAGGCACGTGAGCGTTTTTTTTTATCTTTTATATTTATCTTTCTTTGGATTGTTCCATTATTTTTTTAATTTGTTTATGTTTGGGTGGAAAATGTGAATTTTATTGGGGAACATTTTCGGGTTTTTGATTTATCGTGCGATGGGGGTTTTTTTTTGAGATTTTACATGGTTTTGTGAATTGCAGACAGTGACGGAGAAATGGCGCGAAATGATGGTGATTACTTCGATTTTTTGAAATAGTTCGGGAATTACGAGGGGACTGATTTTTTTGGGGGGGATTAGGTTTATTGGGGTGTCGAGATGCTGTTCAAGGGGAATAGCTCGAGGCTGGAGTTTTTGATTGAGAAAATTCAAGCTCATAAGGAGTCGCCATCCCCTCTGCCAGAGGAGAAGTGCAGTGTCAAGTTGAAAGGTACATTATTATTTTGAATTCCAATAAAATATTTACTCGCGTCTGCCAGTAAAAAATGGAATCTCCGGTTCTTCCTGAAAGAGAAATTCCTCGTCGTGAGGTCCCACGGGAATTCACAATTTCACAACTACTTCTCACTCTCGATTCTTCAATTTTCACGTGAAAATTCCGTCGTCGATAAAAAATTCAATTAAAAAATGCACTCTCTGTTACATCTAAATTTAAATTAATGCACGCTACGTAATGAAGCGGGAAAACATTTGAACCGAGTACACGTGCGCGACCAGGTGTGACATGAATGCGGGATAAAAGCTTTTCTAATTTGAAAAGTGAAAAAAAAAAAAATCGGTGGAACCATGAGAAAATGGAAATGCCAAGTTTTCCTCCCGAAATATTCCGACGAATTCCTCTTCCTAAAATCGAATGAATTCCGAATAAATCGTCTTGACTCAGCGATGCAAAATTTTTTTCGCAACGTCAATGTCAAAAAAAAAAAATTGACAGGACGTTGTATTTGGATCAGCTGGAGTTTTTCGCGGATTTGTACGGGGTATTGCCGGTCGCGGTATTTTAACGGTAAAAACGTAATTCGGGGTAGTTATTTTGGATTGAAATATTCCACTCAGTCCTCCCAGGTTCGTCTCCCTTCGAGATTACACGGAGACTCGGTGACTCATTGCTCCCAAACGTCTCCTATGTGTCTCCCATTGGGAACACGGGACGCTCGAGTCCCCCGTCAGACTCCCATGGGAGATTACGGGTTCGCGCCGTTACGTAGAGATGAGGGACGTTGCTGAACTCGGCACATTTTCCGTTAAAAAATAACGTCAAAACTCTAATACCGAATTTACCATCAACTTCGGTAAAACAGACAAAGACTGGATTAAAATGACGATTAACTCAAATTCCCTTGCCGATTCTAGAAGTGAAGATGAAAATTTACGCGACTTTATCATGATTTTTTAATCATATTTTTATAATAGATTTAATTCTCTGAATTGTCATTTTAGAATATATAGTTTGATGCTTGAATTGATTGGAAATAGTTATTCGATGATTAATAGGGAGAAGTCTTGGATAATAATTAGGCAGAGTAATTTTCTACATCCGGCCTCCTCCACGAATTTAGGTGGCGCCTATTTTAGTTAATAAAACCGAGTGTCTCTCGTGTAGGTGTCAACGGATGCAACCGATTTTACGAGTACGTAGCTCCACTGAATAGCATTGGGCGTCTTGTGTGTTTTATTAGAATTTAAGATGACTAGTGGACACGAAAAATTCCGTAAAATCAGTAAAATTGCACTGGTGGGTGTCGCACGCTTTATTACTTACGAAATGAGGAAATGAGACTTGTTATTTCGACTTCCGTCAGTTACTGTTATTATCGCAATGAGTCCGTCATTTTTCTGAATTCGAAAAGATCTTTTCAACTGAATTTCACGATTTATCAATTTAGCCAATAAATATTTTCTATTCTCTATCAATTGAAAATTCAATTTTCTGAATTCGAGTGGTAATTAATTGTTTTACGATGAGTCGAAGAGGATTTAGACTTGAATTTTGGTAAAAAAAATTCTTTTAGATGGATTATTGGGTGGCAGTTACTCTTGGCGAAGTGAGGAAGACAGTTTGACATGTCAACGAGGTGGTGGCACCCCTTCGTCGTGTGCCACCTCGACGTCCCAGAGTTTTCCATCGGAAACTGAAATCGATGGAGATTTGCGGATTAACACTGACTCCCACAACTCATCTGGTCCATACTCATGTCAATTTTGTGACAAAACATTCCCCAGTCTGAGTTGTCTCAAGAAACACGAGCAGGTGAGACGCAAAATATTTTCTCTCCGTGAAAAAATTTTACTACAACACGAAGATAAATTCCTAGTGAAATGTCTCCTCTCAAAAATTTTTCCACGAAATTTCATTATAAAATTTTACTATAAATTTATCTCTGTAAATGATGAACGAATATTAGCTGGACGAGAAATTGATGAGATCTGGAATTTATTGCACAGCCCAGATGATTTCTTTTAATCCCTGACTCTAGACCCATGGCGATCAAATGCCATACAGATGCAGCTGGTGCGCAAGATTGTTCAAACACAAACGAAGTAGAGATCGCCACGTGAAACTACACACTGGGGACCGAAGATACCGTTGTACCCACTGTGAAGCAGCATTTTCACGAAGGTAACTTCTAAATTCCCAAGAGAGTCACTCTACCACCCTTTGCCCTCCCACCAGGTACTATGGAAATAAACCACTCAAAAATATAAAGAAGAAATTGATGATTGAGTTAAGAATAATTCGCCTAAAGCTCCAACACTTGCTATTAACTGTTTCTCTCAATTATCCATCAATTACAACAAAATTCCATACGAATTTCTCAAAAATGGAAAACTTGAGATAAAAGGAAAACTTCCTAGCAAATTTGTCGTTCTCCCTAGAAATTTGGTTTGGAGAAATTGAAGATATATATTTGCTTGAGAAATTGATAATAATTTTCAGTGATCACTTGAAGATTCACATGAAGACACACGATAACCAGAAGCCGTACCACTGCACGGAGTGCTCGAGAGGTTACAACACAGCAGCAGCGCTAACCTCTCACATGCAGTCACACAAAAGGCCACCGAGTACGCCCCACTGTCAGCGTTCCCTCCCAACATCCTCACCGCCAGCAATCGCATCCCCAGATCACCAGCCAAAGCTCCAGTACCACTCCCCCCTCCACCTGACCTGCATGTACTGCAGGGACACCTTCTCCTCGATGGAGCAACTCCAGGTGCACGTGCAAACGTCCCACGAGGCACTCCTACCCCTCCCAAGTCCGTCCTCCTCTTCACCAGAGGCTAATGACTGTCGAAGACTCAGAGCGAAACCCTCAGACCTGGAGGATTTGACCTGCAGACGATGCGCCACGAAATTCAGCAAGCTATCTTCACTCCGAGAGCACCTGGTCTCAGCACACAATGACGGACTCACCACGTTGACCTGTCCCCTGTGCTCGAAGCCCTGCTCATCAGCTACAGCATACGCCGAGCACTACGTACTCGAGCACTGCGAGAACAAGAGCATCATTCCACGCTCGAAACCAGAGATCGACAAGTTGTACGAATCACCGAAGTCGAATTATTTATCAGGCACACTTCTCTGTGGTCAGTGTGGTGCAGCACTCAAGGACTTCGAGTCCTTCAGGACACACCTTGCAAGACATCTGCATGCCAACCAGCAAGCAGCTGCTGGAATCGGTTGTCCAAAGTGTGAGCTCAAATTTCAGGTGCGTGAGGATATGCTGATGCACCTGACGAAGCACTTCATGGGACAAATCGTCAAGAAGTTCTGCTGCGATGCATGCGATGAACTCTTCGGGGACTCGAAGAGCCTCCAGAAGCACCTGCTGGATATCCATGCACACCACCTCTTCCGGTGCGAGATATGCAGGGACACGTTTGACTCAGTCGTCGGAATTCAGGTGCATTTCACCGTCAAGCACTCGCAGGAGGCCAGCCTTTACCCCTGCAACTCCTGCAGGGGCAGAGGTGGATCAGAGCCTGGAGAAGGATTCAGAACGCCTGGAGAGCTTCTGGATCACGTGAGAAATGTGCATGCCTCCGATCTGAATTCCCCAGGGAACTCAGTCTCAACTCCTAAAGTCGTCGGTGAGTTCTTCAGGTGCGGCTTCTGTGGGATATTCTGCCCGTCGGACAGCGATCTTCAGCATCACCTCGCCAGCCACTCAACGTGTCTCTTTCGTTGTCCCATCTGCAGAGAAGGCTTCCCCGTCGAATTCCTTCTCGATAAACACATGGCGAGTGCTCACAATTTAATTGGACAATCGGAAGACTCCGAGGAGAAATCCTCGTTGAAGAGACGACGCTCACCAGACTTCAACAGCAATATCAATCAGCAAGAACAGTCCTTTGGCAATCCAACGACACCAGGACGACCTCATCACTGCGATCTCTGCGACAGGTCTGACTTTTCGAGTGACTCTGAGCTCAAGGCGCACAAGAAACTCGCTCACAAGACAGTTTCATCGAAAGTACAGAAGCTGTCGACTTCATTCGTCTGCAGTTACTGCGGCGAGGGTCTGCGATCCAGACTAGAGCTTGAGTCTCATACCAGGGTCCACCATGCCCCTGCAGACCCAGGTAAAAAATACAAATGCAACATCTGTGATGAAGTCTTCTCGTCCGGCAGCTTTCTCGCTGAGCACAAGCTTCAGAAGCACTGCAAGATACAGATCAGCGATATTTGTGTTGTCTGCAGGTGCACCCTCGCCAGCGAGAGGGACTTCCTGGAGCATGTGCATAAACACAGCTTGGAGGGGCTTGAGGGGAGAGAGGCAATTGTCAGCCACGTACCAGCTCATTGCGTTGTTTGCCGGCAGACGCTTATCAGTGAGTTTGAATGCCAGCTTCATGCCAAGTTTCATCTGAGAAGTGAGGATGAGGAGCGCGGTGATATCGGTAGCTGTTGTATTTGTCTGAGAGAAGTTGGAGAGGGTGAGAGGGTCTCTCTACCGGCCAACGATGCAAGCGAACAGGGGCTCAAAGTATGCAAGAGGTGCTTCCTCAGGCACTCGCAGGGGTTGCCCATTTTGACGAGCCCCTATGAGGTATGCAAGGAGGAGGGCGACGTCGCGGTCAAGGAGGAGGACGAATCCTCCAGCGAGAAGGTGGGTCAATTGCCTTTCCAGGGTTCTCCAGCTAATCCTCAGCTTACGAAACAATCAATTTGGGGACTGATAAATTTTTCGGGAGGCATTTAGATATGAAGCTTTTAAGGCATGATTGATGAACAATTCATGAAGATGTTAGAAAGTAATTTTCTGTTGCAGGAAAATGATTCTACCCGTCCATATGACTGTCCATGTTGCAGTCAAAGGTTCAACTTTAAAAGTGAACTGGAGTATCATGTGTCGACACATGATGATAAAGATGCATCAAAAGACACTTCAGACAGTGTCATTGTTAAAGAGGAGATTGTTGTGAATACTGGGGAAGATCAAAGCGATGACAGGAGTGACACCTCCGTGGACGATAAAGTTGACTAATTTCTAGTGCATGTTACGGGGGATGAATGAGGGATATTATTCCGAGGGTGGGTGAAGGTGCAATCGATCCATCGAGGGGAGGAAATATTTTTAAGTGGAGAATCCTCAGGCTCGATGGATCTTTCCCTTTGCTCTCGTTTTTATTATTTTTTGGGGAATTAATATTTTACAGGTAGGAGTAGACAAAGTCGTAATTTTTTAATGACTGTGAATTACTAGACAACGCTTCCGTCTAATGCATATCAAGAGCTAATTATTACCGATTAATATGTTGAGATAAATAGAGATAAATGTGTAAATGAATAAATAATTTTTATTATGGAATTTTTGGGTGTTTATTCCGAGTTATTTTCATTCTTTAAAAAATTTCATTTTTTAAATTTATCAAAAATTTATTCGTTGTGGTGAATATTCTCATATCAATTATTTAAGAGATTAACCGAATTTCAGTAAATCCAGAGGACTGGAAAAATTTATCTCAGGATTTCATAAATTATCATCATGAAACTTTTCCACTAGAAATATTTATAAATTCCAATAATTTCTTCACCCAGCAACAAGCAAAAATGATGCTCTCTCGATATTAATTATAAAATCCTAATAATTTATGTTTCAATTCGACATGATAATTGACATCAATAATTGAATAAGAAATATTTTGGGAAATCAAAATTCGCATTCGACATTTCAATATCTTCGTATTAGATTCTCTCATTTTTGCAAAAATCGATCGCACGTCCATTCGTGTCATGAAAATTTAATGATTTGCAAGACCGAACGGTGAAAAATGATAATTATTTAATGCCAAGTGTTGAGAAATTCATGGATAAATAATTAACCAGAAGACGTCGTGAACTGCTGTGCCAACTGTTCTGATTCGTCTTTATCCACTCGAAGTAGAACAGGAATCGACTGGGGCAGACCCAGTGAAAAAGGACCTCTGTCACTCAGACATGGCAGATCTCTGTCGCTCAATAGAAGAAAAATAATATCAAAAATTGATATCAGAGCGACCCAAGCACCTCAAATATTTACTCTACCCCGTTGCCCCGATTCAACCGGCGAGAATTCAGACAAAAAAAAAGGGGATTCGATGAGACCCTAATCCAATATTTGCACGCGTTAAATGGAACTGGCACATTCGATAGGAGAAAAATTGTTTAATGCCTGCATTAACCTGTAATTGGATGTTCTCATGAAAAATTCCAATATTTTTGGTTTTTTTTTTTTGACAATGACTGAGTATTAACTCGGGATGACCTGGATTTTTTGCCATCCCTGGATATGACGGAATAATTAACCAATGATTTTCGGCTTGTGGTTATTCAGATTTTTTTATTCCGATTTTTTTCGGTATTTTCTCTCCTGAAATGCAAATATCGATGAGGTCACTCTGGACGAACGTTTTACATGCAGAGGATAATCCGGTTATTGGAATAATTTGGTCTCTGAGAAAAAAAGGCTTCAATAATTTTCATGAAAAGCTCTCACTCGATTATTCGTGATTAATTAATAACTGCTTGACGTTCCATTTTATTTTGGTTTGTTCTCGTTACTTGTTTGCGTCCCTTTAAAGATTTATTAATAATCCAAGTCCTCTTTTATTTTCACCGTTTTTTGTTCGATTTATCTCATGTTGTGAAAACCTAGAGAACGAGATGATTCTCATCGGAAAGCCAAGAAAATTTCCGCTTCGAAACACTGCAGGACAACTAATTTTCCTTCGCAAGTTTCTAAGAAAAGACGAGAAATTTATATCACAAAAGATGCATGAACTTTGTATTAACAATTCCCGCAGAGTTTTCCCCAATTTTCAATTAAATCCTCTACCTTTCCTGTCAGATTCCGACATGTTCTAGTGTTTTAAATAATTAAAACAGTCGCTAAAAAAAATTCGCTTGCGAAAATTGAAGTAAAATGTCAATTTCCCGCAATTTCTCGTTGCCGAAACGTCTGATAACCCGTGATATCTCCAGTTTTCGTCATTACCCGCGATCACGATGTCGATACGACCGGATATAAATCCCCACGACTGTCAAAAAATGGAATTAAATGTACAATCGGTTGCCCCATTTCAAATGCTGAAAGATTAAAATTCCCCGGCATTCGTTGTACGTTGAATTCGTGACTGCAGTGATTAAAAGATGAATGAACTGAATCATTTGTTTTCCTTTCGCAGGATCCCAAATAAATTCTTCAAAGTTGCCCTCAGTGACTCGCGATCTATTGTCTAAACTCCCCGGTCCTCTGGCATTCAGCGAATTATTCGGAATGTCTCCTTGCAAACCCGACACAATTTCCACATTCAGCCCTTCACAAAATATTTAAACTCTACTCCCTTCTGCCACTGTCAAACTTCCAATTCCCTTTCTTCTCCCACTCCCTCCAACGGCCTCTGTATTTTCCTTTGTACAAGTCATCGTGAAACGTCTGATTCAACTCAAAAAATAAGTGTTACACTCTCCCCCAATCCCTTGAAATCAAGGGAGTAAAAAAATATTGATTTAAAAGCCGCCGCAATATTTTGACGCCGAAAAAATTAAATTGGGTCAAGTAGATTTTGAATAATTCAAAACGAAATTTATATGTTTGATAAATTGGTGTATCTCGAAAAGTACTTGACCGATCGATCGGAAATTTTACACAGATATACTTCCAAGTTATTCCAATTGTTCCACCGAATTTCAAATTTTTAACTTGAACTCTACTATCTTTTTGGATTTTTTGTATTGTTTGTGTTTTTTTCCCATTTCCAGAAAGAAAAATATTTCTGTCGACTGCTAAAAATTTTTCTGCATAAAATTGAATTGACGTTCGAATTGTTGTTCCAAAAAAATTTTCTTTGGTGGAATTAAATTATTCCACAGGAGTCATTTTATTTTTAATATGTGGTTAGAGGAGTACGGGATTTTTTTCTCTCGACAGAGGGTAGATCACGGAGTTATATCAATTATATCGTTAATTGAGTTGTAATTGTTTTTGCTATAGGAGGGAGAGGGTCGAAGGTAATTTGAACCTTGCGAAGGAAATCCTAGGGCCAACAAACTGGGGAAAAGGTCAGAAGGGCCAGTCGAGCAAACTTATCTCGTCTCTGATTTTATGATTTTGATGGGTTGAGGGGAGAAACTCCATTTTCCGAGAGTCAAATCTATTTATTCAACCATTTATTAAAATTTCTCTCTTGTGAATTCTTTCGCGATAATTCCTAGAGATAGTACGTAATTTTTATAATCGATTAAATGAATGACACATTTCACCCCCCATTTTCCACGTGCGTTCTGTCAAAACAAAACAATCACCTCAAGGATATCCTCCATCACCGAAAACAATCTCGCACTTTCCAGATGAAATACCATCTACCAAGATAAAATTCAAGACTCGACACCTTGAATTCTCACGTGAGAACACCATCTAATCCAAAACAATTCCCCAAAATCCATTCCTCATCGCCCCACAAATGTAGATTAAAATCTTAAAACCGCCGGAACACCCGAAATTTCCGACAATTCGGCACCCTCTCCCCACGACCCTGAATTCCCGAAAAAGCTCCCCCCTCAAAAAAAAAAACTCCCAGACAAACGCTTCCCTCATTACCCCACCCCCGTTATCGTCCATCTTTAATAACCCATAAACCACGAAAAATTGTCGTATCTTAATTGAATCAGGAGTGGCATCAAATGCAGTAATCGCATTGGTATCATAAAACTCTGGTCCGCAACATTCACGAGAAAAAAGAGCCCCCAAAATTGTTTTTCCACCCACTCCCTCCTATTTCCAGCGGTTTTCCACCCGGCGCGTTCGACTTTTCCGTTCTCGTTTTCGTCGACGACATTAGCCCGTTATCTTAATCTACGATCACAGCAACACCAATAACATGAGACACATATATCGCTGCCATATCAGGGATGAAATAAAGAGAGAGAAGTAAAAAAAAATGTAGAAGGTGGATGGAAGTACATGGAAACGAGAGGATGAGAGAGAAAGGGATGAAGTTGGGGGGCTCAACACTCTGGGCCAGGACGTTTACGTACAATGGCCCCTCTCTCGTCCTCTTTCATCCCCCGAGCCGTTTGCATCGGTGCGGCTGTGGCCGATAGTCGAGTGTAGGGTATATACAACCACACTAGGGTAGATTCTAAAGTGGAAAGGGAAAAAGGATAGGTTTGAGTGGAAATGGCCTGGGCGCAAGCGCTCGACAGGATCGATGCCTTCCAACTATCGCTGTATAAAGCTAACACTCTCTCGGGGCGCACGACCAGTTCACCAGTGACTCTTGGTATGTGATAATGTGATTCCATATTTTATCTTTTTTTTACACCTTTTTTTTTTCTCTCTCTCTTGTCATCTTTATTTTTTTCGGGGGATGATTCCACATTTTTTGTCGTGCATTGTGAATTGTGATGTCTGAGTTCTCGAAGATTTTTGGATGGGCGGGCTGGGGGGTGGTTTATTATTCAGATTAATTTTGAGAGTTCAGAGGATTTCATGTTTATCTATCTCAATGGGTTGAGTTTCCGGGAATTTTTGAAATTTTTGGGTGTTTGGGGGGTTTTTGTTTTTCAGTAGCTAGTGGGAGAATCGGGGATTTTTTGGTTTGGATTTAGGGGATGATTTTTTTGGGGGGTTGATTGACTCCGGGGGTTAGGGGGCTCGGGGAGGCAGGATGGGGTGGGATTTTTGGGGTTTATCGGGGTGGAGAGTGGGTGGTGGAATTTTGGGGTTGAGGATGTGGGGGAGGTTGGGGTGGATTGCCAGATGGTCCAGCAGTTTCTGGATGCACAAACGGTATTCTGATGTCACTGATGGTTTAATGACGGAGTGGTTGGGAATTTTCTTTTGGGGGGTCCTAATGGGAGGAACGTGACCTTTGTTGTTTGAAAACTTCCATTCGTGATGAGGGTTAGAGGGGATTAGGGGGAAACGGGTGGGTTTTTATTGATGGGGGAGGCTGGGGGAGATGGATTCGAAGGGTTCATATTGATAACTCGGTTTTTATCATGTGGAATTGACTCTCGGGGATTTTCCAGGGATTACCACTCTTTCTGAGTTGATCAGTTGGAATTTTCGGTCTTCCACCGAATCAGTTCCATTAAACTAATTCGAAATTCCATTAACGCCGAGGGATAATTCGATCCGTGAGAAATGTTAATTCGCGTTGAATTTTCCCGATGGTGGAATTAAAAAATTTCAACCAGAATTTTAATAGCGAATTGATTGAACGAGAGCCGAAAGTTCATTTCCGTCGTTTGGCTGGAGTTTTTTTTTAACGGGCAGTTTGAATTGGGTATGAATGTTTAATTTTACGAGTGGCAAGTTGACGAAAATAGCAGAACTCATTTGCGTTTAAAAAACCATCAATTATCCACCCCAACAATTTCCACAAAACAGAGGCATGAAAAAAAATATATATACTTTCCCCCCCAAGTGTACAGTGATAATGTAACAGATAAAGTGTTGGGCACTCTCGCACATCGGTTTTTACCCCTTTAATCTCGCCACGAGATCTGAAATAATTTTTTTTTTACTTCGGTAAAGTGCTTTCAGAGGCAATTTTTTTTTTCCACCCTCAACGTGTGGAATGGAGTGACGAATGATGGAGCAGTTGTGGGAATATTGAGCGATGCCTCATGGAAGGGACAAAGAGGACGAAATATCCATCAGCAAAAATTTCCAAATGACCACGGAATTGAGTTAAACAACTGAGGAATTGAAATGTGAATTGAAAGGATTTAGTGGAGATTTTTTTTTTAATTTTTCATTTTGAAAAGAGAAAAAGAGGTGAATCGGAGTAAGGGGGAGGTGTGGGGGATGAAATTGTGGTGGTTTTTAATACATTATTTTTAATGACTGATGGAGTAGTCGATTTGATAGTAGAAACGCCGCCATTGCTGGAGTGGAAAAGCGGAAAGAAGAAGGGAAGAAAAGCAACCCCCTTGCACCCCACCCACTCGGTATTCCCCTTTGGGAAGGCTAACGGTTTGAAATAGTGTACGTGTGTGTGCAACAAGTTAGGGAAGAGAACTGACGCCAACTTGGATGAAATCGAATCCGCAATGTGACATGGATGTCCTAGCTATATTCTGCATACTTATTGCAACTGTCCTCTATTATAATACCTTCTACGCTGGTTTCGTCTACGATGACAGGTAATTTAATCGAGAGATCGTCAACAAATATCATCTTCCCCACAAGTATTCGTGATTATATTTATTTATTCACCGAACCTTATCTTAAACTTTATTGAGGGGAATTAATTATTTATTCATTATTTTCCTTTCCTCAAATCAATTCTGCGAAAAAATCTCCGAACTGAGAATTTCCCTGGTAATCACTTAAAATTTTATCTTTTAATGAATTTTTTATTATGATTTTATATCGATTTTTTACTGGAAAATTTTTGTCGGTAAAAATTCCGCGGGGAGATTTTAAATCGTGCATCTGGTGAATTCATATCTCCACTGATTGAGAGAGATTAAAAAATTGCCTTATCGATTTGGCTACCTCTGTCGGCACCTTCGGGATTAATTAAATCAAATTTCTGGCGCTGAAGTCGTGACAGCGCACCGAGAAATTGAGGGAATTAATAAAGACGTCAGGCCTGAATCAATAAGAATTAATGAAACATTATTAATGTCGCTCGCACGTCACTCCAATTAATCGAAATGAAGTAAATTTCCTGGTATCCCGAATCACGAATGTTCTCGACTCATTTATTTAATTGATAGCAAGTCCACGTCATTCCATTATTGAATTAATAAATACGAAATTCATTAAAAAAATTATTCATTCACTTCGCCCACCGGTAGAATCAATTAATCTTCATAAACCAGAGGAAATAATAACCCACAAATTCAATTAAACGGTTGAACAATTCCGCAATTCCAGGTTGTTTTAAATTTAACTAAATGAAATACTTCGATTTTAATCAATCCGGGGAATACGAAAAATTCTTCTCTTCATCTCTGAATTTTTAATAAAGCCATTTCCCGTAGGAATGAGTGAAAAAAATTTTGATGCAGTTGCTCGGTCGGTGGGATTTTTCTACCAGAATTTTTTCGACAAATACTCGGGCTTTGACGAATTGTTTGCAGTCTATTGTTTGAATCTGCCGAGCGTTGAATATTTTTTTGTTTGCTTTTTGCCTTCCAGACGAGCGATTCTAACGAATCCCGATCTACTCCCAAATTCCCCATGGTTTCCACTGTTGGAGAATGATTTTTGGGGCACACCATTACGTGACAGCGAGTCACACGGGAGTTATCGGCCCCTCTGTGTTGCCACCTTTAGACTCAATCATCTTCTTGGTGGTCTCAATCCTAGGGGATATCATCTCGTCAACATTGGCCTACATGCAGGTTGCACTGGTCTCGTCGTCAGGGTCGCCAGGACCGTAAGTTATCGTTAAATAAATAAAAAAAAAACCTTTCCCGCCTGAAATATTTCGACCAAACGATATATCCCGGGGGGAGAAATTTTATCATGGAATTCTCCGTGAAATTTTTCGGGAAATTTGAAAAAATATTTCCATCTCAAATAAATAAAAGTTAAATAACTTTCATGGAAATTTGGATTGTCCGGAATTTCAAGTATATTCTTTTGTCATTTCAGGAGTAATTTTTTAACGGCGTAATTTTTTAATTAACGTTTTTTTTTCAAACATTCATAAAACTGGATGGTTCGTCTTCTCAAAGCAACGAAAGTGTCATAAATTTTTTTCCGTCGACCCAGCGTGTCATTGATGGTGGGGGGAATAATGCCCCACGGCTTCTTTAATTAAAAATTCTTTAGGAGCTATCTCAGGATTTTTTCCACTCCTTTTTTTTTTCTTTTCATAGAAAAATTTTATCAATGGACGAAATCGGATGAGTTCCGTGACGAATTTAACATTCTAATTATTGATTTGAAACATTAAATGACTCTTCTGTCACTGATGAAATTGTATTTCCTCTTAAAATAGAATGTCGTCCAATGAATATTCAGTCAAAGTCCAAAATTGGACTTATCTAATTTTAAAACTTCAATCCAGAATTCATTGCTTGATTTTTAATCGACAGGATGAAACGGGAGTAGAATCGAGACACTTTTTCCATTTAATTCATTCCAATAGAGACTAATTGATTGACTTCCAAAAATACCAGATCACGCACCGCATTTCGATATCAATAATAAAAAAAGTGAGATATACCATTGAATAATCAATCAATTCCTCCCGAACAGATAAAAAAATTCAATATTTCAACAGCAAAATTTCGAGTATAATACTCCACCGGTGTAACCACCACTTGCTCCCATGGCCGATGTAATATTTCCCAGTTAACATCATTCCCGTAATAATAGCCAAAAAAAAACTGATGCCCCCTGGTCTCTAATGATCGGCCAATTAGGGTGACTTATGCCTCGAGCCCGGTCCAATTAATCCCCATTTCGCTGGAACCATCGTAAAAAGTAAAACAACATTTCAGGTAATACCAGGACGATGGTTATCGCACGCGATCACGGGTCTGTTGTTCGCCGTTCATCCAATTCACAGTGAAGCTGTTGCTGGTATAGTTGGACGTGCTGATTTACTCGCCTGTTTCCTAACTCTCGCCTGTTTTCTCACTTACGTTGCACACTGCGATCAAACTCGTTCACCACTGATGCTCTTCATAGCCCTAACGTCATCACTGCTGGCTGCACTCGCCAAGGAAACTGGAATATCCTCACTAGCTCTGTGTTTACTTTGGGAATATAGTCATGGAGAGTCAAATACGCAAAAGGTAAATATTACTTTTGATCGCAGCCAGTGGCACTTGTCGTCTCCATCTATTTCTAACTCCAGTGTGTGCAGTACCTTTGTAAATATCGTGTTGTTTAGTCAGACGTATGCCACACCCTTAGTCATAAGTGATACTTGTTTGAATTGAGTTTATTAGGGGGTGAAGAGGGCTTCAGGATAGATAAGGTGATTTGACAGGGGGAATAATACCATCTCCCTCTGGATTTTTCGAGTTGGATGATGATGAATTGGGGGAATCGGCTGATTCCAATGCCTCTTCATGAGGGGAATTATTTGTTTGGGGTAGAAACATTTTTTTTATCAGCTTTTACACATTCTCACTCTGGGATTAACGTAATTAACGGATTGAGATCAAAATTGAGAGGGGAAATTTTATGATTTATTGAGTCACGGTTATTGCTGAGGTGATTAATGGGTGGGTATTAATTTTAATTAGCATGGAAAATTTTTGGGGTGGGGTTTTAATGGGTGAGTCAGTAATTTTCTTGGAAGAGATCGAGATCTATATTCACTCGATTGATTGAGACGCCATTTTTCACGTGTATAAAATATTTTTGACGGCTCAAAAAATTATGAAAGAGGGGAGAATTAAAATAATAAAATTCTCCTCGAATGAATAAAATAGAGAGAATAGAGTGGATGATAAAGTGAACTGGAGAAAACCGGCTGAACCGGAAGTTGAGTTTTCCCAGCGTTGGAAAATGATTGGAACGAAGAAAAATGGTGGAACTACTGATCTATCCGAAAAGTCAACTAATTTCCCCAAACAATTTCCCTCGAATGGCCTCACCCCATTGAAACTTCTCCATCAATTCTCGGCCCCCCTAGAACGATTTCCTCCCACTGGTATCCCAGTAAACAAACAACCGAGAAAAACTGGGAACTCCATTGAATTTCAGGAACGCGAGAGAACGTGGCCACGCAACCGTAGCGTGGGAATTCTGTGGAGTGGTCTCTTCCTAACGATCCTGGGAAGAATAAAAATAGGTAACGCAACAACACCGGAGTTCGCCAGTGCGGACAATCCAACAGCTCGTCATCCCTCACGTCTCACCCGAACCCTGACGTTCCTTTATCTACCAGCAGCAAGCCTCCGGATGTTCCTGTGCCCAAGTACCCTGAGCTTTGACTGGTCAATGGACACAATACCAAGAATAATATCACTGACGGATCCCCGTAACCTCGAGTCATTCTGCCTTTACGTTGTTCTGGTAACAGCTGGACTCTGGGCTGTGCAGCAATCGAGAATTGAAATTTACGTGAGAAATCGCACAATGGAGAAGACGGGATCCCTCGTCAGGGCTTCATCCAAGTGCTCTGTGTGTGATAATCGGAAAATTGGCGGCTGTCACACCGAGGGCTGCCGAGTTGCCAACAATAATAATAATAGTGACAGCATTGACTGCTGCTGCTCACTGAAACCAAGTCCCACATACTCAGAACCTACCACTAGATTTGGCAGGACTAAGTCCGTTACTATTGTCATTATATCCTTGGGATTTCTCGCGTTGCCATTCATACCTGCCAGTAATCTGTTCTTCTATGTTGGATTTGTCATCGCTGAGAGAATTCTTTATCTACCGAGTGTTGGGGCATGTCTGTCCATCGGGGCTAGTGTTGCTGAGACGTACAGGATTGTCAAACATGGATCGAAAACTTGTGGCAGGCTCATACTCGGGGTTACCATGGTTCTCCTATTCTTCATGGCTGCCAAAACTCTCAGGAGGAATATGGATTGGCATGATGAGGAGAGCCTCTATCGATCTGCTCTTCATGTTAATCCACCAAAGGGTGAGCTATTTTTTTATTTTTTCTCCATTCAAATTTTCTTTCCAAATGCACATCGTCAGGAAATTGGAGGACAAGAAAGTCCTAAAGTCCTGAAATCCTGCAGTCCTGAAATCCTGAAGTCCTGAAGTCCTGAAGTCCTGAAATCCTGATATTAAAACTTTGGAAACCGTGGAGTGAGAAATGTTTTCCTTCCGATTTGAAAATCGTTTATTTAAATGAAAAACGAATACTGAGAGTTCTGTCTTTAATCTCGAATAATGAGGAGTTGTTGTATGATGTCAGTTATTATCATTACGGCTTCCATAACATTGTAATTTGGAATGTGAATCCTGCTGTATTCCTCTCGTCTCTCGGAATATTAATTGGGAGAACTTGTTGAAGTTCAATCGAAATAATTGAATGCATGCTTCCTCTGTGATTATGAGAAATAATGAGACAATTGTTGATGGGTAACTGTTAACCGTTCCATTCGATAACTAGATATCGGAGCTATCGAGTATTCGAGTTGGGTTTGTAATTTGGTTCACTAGTTACTAGAATTTTTCAATTCCGCATCCGGATTAATTGCTGGAGCTCAATTGTTTCGCCCCCAATTTTTTAATGGCTTATTTCGATTATATAAATCTCACATTACCCATCAAATTGCCAAAGTAATATCAACGAAATTGAATTTTTAAAAATCACTCATTTAAATGTCAGAGGCATATGTTCCAGGTTCCATGAATAATTAATTTTTTTGAGCCATCCCATGTTCTTTTCAAAATGCCTATTTACAGCTTGAAATCATGATGGGGGTATTATCATGTTGTTTATCATCATCCTGCCTCTCATTAGGTTGATTAACATTAATTAAAGTATAACATAGATTTCATAATATCCCTTCAATTTTATAATGGCCAATTTTCCAATTTACAGCAGCCCTCTGAGAGAAATATTAATTATAAAAAATTCTCGGAAATTCAATTGAAATTATTTAATGCAAACTCCAGCTGTTGTTATAGGTAACAATGAGGAAATTGTAAATGCGAAACAGTAGCGATGGATAATAAAAAAATCTCAGTCGTTGAATTTCGATAGTATGTTTTTGATATTAACATGATTCTATTTGAAATGATAATATTCATTTTACGCGTTCCATTAATTTTAATTATTAGAGTTGATGAAATCGAATGAAGACGAATTTTCGATCGATCGCATTGAAAATTGAATAATTAGTACAAAGAGATTTTTGTATAGATAAAAAATTCTTAATGAGATATTTTTAGGGCCCCGAAATGCTCTCTTGAATGCACTCCGGTTCCAGGCATGTCGGAAAGTCATGAATAAATTGAATAGACACATTCGTACTCTCATTCAGCTTTTGCTAGCAAATTGGTATTTATTTTCGTGTCAGTCGGGAAGTGGATGGCAGACTCGGGGCTTGTCGGATGTTTCGGTTAATAATTCAGGGATGAGTGGATATATACAGTCAATTTGATTAATAATTGAACTCGAGTATGACTGGAATTGGATAATACAGGTATGAATGGTTTTAATGAAGCTAAAAATTTTACGTCTGATGAATTATTCAGGGCAAACTGGAAATTCGTTATTGTGTATTAAGTAATCAAGATTCTCCTGCATTGGTCGAGCGATTATTCTGATGTAATTGGGGATGAATTTTAATGGTATTATTGTAATATTTTTCATCCATTTTCCCTGCACAAGTGCCTTTCAATGATTCTATCAATTTTTTATATCAAATTACAGTGAAATGTTTTGGGAGAGGTAATTTAACGGGCTAATATTGATTCGTGAAAATTCATTTTCTTTGCAGAAGGGAGAAAATTCTCTGTCCCATTTCAATTTTTTATACGGTACAAAATCGGGAAATTATCTGATTTGTCCACTTGGCAACACAATCTGTGATCAGGAAACTGTAGTGATCGTCAATATTTGACACTGGCAGTCTGGCTTTGGTTTCGTCTAAATATATCGGATCGTTGTGGTGAATAAATATTCCAATTCGAGTGGTCATCAAATATTGATAAATGTCCACTGGTCAATTTAACTCGTATCTAATAGGAAATGCATTCGATAAAAGAAATTAATGAATGCTTTCGTTTTCGTGCTTGAGGCTATTACTTTTGGAATTGTTAAATTGCCGTATTTTTTCGTATTCCTCCCGAGGAATTTTCTATTTCGGTTCTAATGCATATTTCCTTCGTCTTTCCGTCAACAATTATTTTAAGACATACAGTCATCAAAAATCCATTTTTTTTTATAATAAATGACCGAAGTATGTCCGTTAATTATGGCTTTCATAAATGTCTCAACGTTCGGATAATAAAGACATTTTAGTTCTGTGGCTATAGAATATCGATAAGACCCCGAGGTCAACGCCATTTTCAGAAGAATATTTCAAACTCATGCTCGTAAAAAAAAAACATCATCATTAAAACATTTTAACTGGAACTTCCGGAAATTCCAAATTATTCAGGACAACTATTCATTTTTTATAAGCGTCCATTCGGATTTCCATATTTTCGAATAATAGCCACCGCATTTTATTAATTTTCAGAACCGCACGATTGTTGGTGGCAAAACCATAATTTTTGCAATTTTATTTTCAAATTCATCTCTTTTATCCCCCAAAATCAATAACCCCTTAATTTCCCGTCCGTAAATTTGTTCGATGAGATCAAAAATGTCCGATTCTCTCTCCTCTCCATTTTTTAATAATTACCAGAATAGCATACTAATGAAAAAATTCCAAAATTCGAATACATGCACCTCGATACCCCACAATATCCGATAAGCCAGTGAAAAAAAAATTACATGGGTTGTTACAAAGAAAAACACCGAATTTTTCAATTGGATTCTCCCATACATGGAATTCGCAATGTCTCAAATTTATTCTCCATAGACACTTGAGTTTTTTTTTTTTAAGCGCTCTATTTTGTTATTGCAACACTCGAACGAGCTTGCATATTGGTGGTAGAAAATACGCAATCATCTCGACTGATTTAAAAAATGCCTCATCTTATTCTTCAGCGTACGGGAATCTCGGTGGTATATTGAGCAGCCAAGGGCGATTCGCCGAAGCGGAAGAAGCATTTATCCAGGCCCTCCGTTATCGACCTAATATGGCTGACGTACACTACAATTTGTGAGTCATATTTTATTTTATATATATATATTATTTTTTTTCACCCTCTGCAGGATATTTATGGAACGGGGCACCACGTAACGGGATACATTTTTCATATTTTCTTACTCATTTTATTTTTCTTATTTAGGGGAATTCTGCAGCAGGCAAGGAGGAATTATGATGAAGCTATATTGAGTTACCAACGAGCGATTAATTTTCGACCGTCTTTAATTCGTGAGTTGAAAGAAAATAGGTTCACTCTTATTCCACTTCCCCAATTCAATTGGAGTTCTTTCCCGAATGATCTTTAATCCCCAGTTTTTGTTTTTTATTGCGACAACTTTATGCAGCCAGTTGTTGTTTGCGCTAACAAGTGTTTATTCTTTTCCCTCGTTTCTCTACTTCTCGTGATAAAACTGTCGTAAACAGCGGATAATGTTGAAACATTGCGATACTTTATTATTTGTTTTTAATAAATTATTGTTGTTTGTCGTTTTGGGTGGGTACATAGGAGGTATCATTGATGTTATCGAAATAATCCACTAATGGACGGTAAATGATTTTAAAAATACTGGTGGTTAAATAACCCCAAGGTTATTTATAAATTATGGCTTTTAACCGATGGTAATACATTTTTATACTCGTACTAAAAACCGGGTAAATATTCAACGTATTTATTTTCCGTTCGTGCAAAGTACTTGAGTAATTTTAAATCAATTTTTATGTTTGTTCGGGTTTTCAGGTAATGGCAAGGAAATTTATGAAATATGTTGAGATCCCGGCTATTTGCTTTTATGGGATTGGCTTTTAGCTTTTTCCTTGATGTGTTATAAATTTTTGTTCAATTACCGATTAACCACTTCAATTTAATATATATTTAATCCTATAAATATATTAAAATTATTTACTCCTCATCTCAATTCATATTTTAAAATCCGTCTAATTGGACTGATTTAACTTTATTTATATAATTAATCATATTTTTTAGAGTATTTTATGCTTTTTACATTTCACAATGAAAAATCATAAAACCGAAGGACTAAAGTTTTTTCTCTCGGTGCACGCACTAAACAGACACGAATAGAGATGAATTTTCATCAAGCGTTTAATGAGTGTTTCCAATGAGAAAATTCCCAGTGGAGTCTCCACCGATGTATTTTTATCCCATGTTAATGAGAAATAATGCCCCATTCTTTCGCACCCTCCTGAATGAGAGAGGAAAGAAAAAAGTGATCCTTAAATTCCTGGGGCATTAACAGAGGCTTACGTGAACCTCGGAGTGACCTTAATATCCGTTGGACGTAAAATCGAAGCTGCCGACATACTACGTACAGCAGCATCAGTTAATGGAGCTGGACTTAAAGACAAAAGAGTCCATGAAGCAGCTAGAATCCAGGCCCTTTTACGTTTGGGCTCATTGTATGCTGACGATGGACATCTTCACGAGGCACTGTCATCATACAGAGAGGCACTCCAGACATTGCCGGAGTATTACCCACCCCAGGTGATGAAATATAAAAAGAATAAGGGTGTATTTATCCAACCGGGGGAATAAATCAATTCATCAACATGATATTGGAGATGATCTCTTCATTTATCTCCAGATCGCTCTTTCCACTCAGATTATTCCATCGGCATTACTTTTATTCTCTTTTCAAATATTTATTTTACTCTCGAGAGAGGGAAAGATGATTTTCAATCTTGAAATAGCAACACTGCAATTTCTCCAGAACTAATCAAACGAAATGGGTTAATTCGCCCTAGTTCACCCCGGTAATTTCCCCGAGCTTCTCATGGTACCTTTAGAATTCCCATATGTCCCGAGATCCCCTGGTGTTACAGGGAAGTTATCCAAATTTTCAGTGTTACTGTGTTTCGAGCGGGGAAAATAATTTGCGAGGGGAATAGTGCGAAATTACGTGTTTAGGCTATTTTCAATGACAAATGCTTGGAGTGCATTCGGTGTCAAATTCATCAGACAAATTGGATTCGTGAATTTCTTCCTGAGTTAAAAGTTATCAATTGGCAATTACGCCTCATTTCCGCATTAATTCCACTTAATTAAATTACTCATTATCGGAATAAGGTGGTGAATGGTGTCATCGCCGGTGCGATCAATAGATATTATCCATAATTATTTGAAATATTGGCAGTTTGATAATTCTAGGATATATTATTGATGCCCGGTGTAGTTTTATTCTCAACTCCTTAATAATAGAAAATTCTATAATTTCAGGCGGTATATAATTTGTTAGGCGAGACATTGTCAAAGATGCAGCAGTATGCCGAGGCTGAGAGATGGTTTCGCGCTTGTCTCGTGAGAGAACCCAACTATATTCCAGCTCACATTACTTATGGAGAGTTACTCGCCCGTAATGTATGTTACCTCCTTTTGTGGTGTCATGAGAATAGATATCAAGTGTCGATGTGTAATGGTATATCATTGTTTTTGCAGTCAAGTCGTGTACTCGAGGCTGAACGATGGTTCGTGAAAGCTACGAGGCTTGCCCCCGATGACCCAAATGTGCACTATCGCTACGGTAATATTTTATAATTGTTCATCGCGGTGTCAGGGCGTGTCAATTAACCCTGAAGTCAGATCGCCATTATATTTTCTTTCATTATAGGGTGTGTGCCACTCACCTGTGGCTGACTATCAACTTTGCGGGCTAATATTTTCATTTAAATTTACCCGGGTAAAAAAAAATTGTAATCGGAATTTTTTTTTCCGGATTTTTTGAAAATTTGGACAAAATATTTCGATTAGAATTTTTTTTTACCCGGGTATCGACGAGTCATTAAAATGAAATATTGAAAAAAATATTTCTCCGATCGCAGAATCATTATCGAAATTTAATTAATACCAGATTGTGAGATTAATTATTCCGGGAAAAATGGTGGAAATTAGGGGTGCGTAATTCGTTTGGTTGATAATGATTAATTAGTTTGAATTGTTATTTTTATTTTATCGGTGGGTGGAGATTGATCTGAACTTCTTTTGATTCGATTTGTCGGCCCTTTCAATGCCCTGATGGGAATTTGATATTTTCGGATAGAACTTTATTCTCAATATTGCTCGTCCTTTGTGATGCCGGAGTGAACGTTCAAGAGCACTCATCTGGTTTTTCCCTCGTGAAAATGGGTCATGTAATGCAATTTTATCATGAGTCTTTCGTTAATTACAGTTACATTGTTACACAGGAGAGGAGAGAATTACCTGGACATTCTCATTGAAAGGGTATCGGTTTGGGTTACCTTTGGAAATTTAATAACGCGTTAACATGCGAATTTTCTGGATAATCGGTTTAATTCATTGGAAAATCTGGAATTAGTCGCAAATTCCATTTGGATTTATTTAGGGACATTCAATCTTGAGTTTCATTCTGTCAAGTTGCATGCTGAAAAGGTCAGGCATGATGGAACCACAAGCTAAAATTACAGAATCTGTAATCGACGTTTTCCCGAATTTTACCACATTTCAGAATAGAGCACAAATAGAATCCGCGAAACGACTTGGAATCGACATTTCGATAGTTACATTTATTAATCAAATTTCACATGCAATTCTCACACTGTAAATGTAATTTTGGCTCATCTGACTTAATGACATTTCATCTGCAATTTGAAATAGAAGAGAATTCTCGAAGGAATTAATCTCGACGTATGGAATTGTAGATGAAACCGACTAATTTTAAACGATTAAAATATAATTGCAGGAATATTTCTATCATCGCAAAATCGTCTCGGGGAGGCAGCACGCGAGCAGCTGAAAGCAGCTGAGCTTGCCCGATCAGATTATGAGCTGTCAGTGGCAGCGGCATCCGCCCTTCGTCATGCAGGTCGTCACGACGAATCTGAGACTTGGTATAAGCATGCAGCAAGCTTGAAGCCCAACGAGGCAACGAGCCACACTAATCTCGGTGCAATTCTCCATGTCAATGGAAAATATCGTCAAGCAGCAGCTGCATATCGTAAAGCCCTACGTCTACAGCCAAATGATCCAACGACAATGACAAATCTCTACAAATTAATGGCGCTTATAACGTGACCCTCGGCGGGGGATCCCCTGTCCCCCTTCATAAAACCTCATATTTCGGAAGGGAGGCAATACGCTATTGATCCGATTTATTTGATATCACCAAAATTTAATCGCAACTTCTCTTCCTGGTATTCATTTGACAAATTGTTCGCCTATTCAATAATAATCATCGTGCGTAAAATCATGAATCAATGGCGTTCAACTCATTCATACTGCCTGCTATGATACATGTAAAAGAATAAAGCTTAGTTTATTTTTCTCTATGATCATGTGTACTTGTTTCATGAATTATTCATTGTCGTAATGGGTGATTTATCATTGGTGTGGTGTTCAAGAATTTTTTTGTCATTTTGTATGAGTTGATTGGGAGGGGAGAGAAGAGAGTTGTCGTGGTGACGCAATTCTCGGGTTATTATTTTTTTAATTATGAATTTTCAATGCTTAATTATTGCAGCGGAAAGAAAACACTGTGCTTTCTGTTGTTGTTTGCAATAACAAGTGTTTATTCTTTCTTTTCTCACATTTCTTCATTTCTCGTTATAAAACTGTCGTAAATTGTGGTGAATACTGAAACATTGAAACTCTTTATTCATTGTTTTTTTGTTAAAATAATTATTCTTTTGTCATTTTTTGGTGGGTTTAGTCGGTGGTTTTGGGTTATGATTAATGTTACTATCAAAATAGTCGGCTAATAGACGATAAATTATTAAAAAAATAGTGGCTGTTAGACAATCCCAGGATAATTTTTAAATTATGGCTTTTAACTGACAATAATACATTTTTATACCGGTGCTAAAAATGGAATTAATATTCAACATATTTATTTGCCATTTGTGCAAAGTAATTGAGTAATTTTAAATGAATTTTTATATTTGTTTGGATTATTAGGTAATGGCAAAGAAATTTATGGAATATGTAGAGATCCTAGCTATTAGCTTTTATAGTATTTGCTTTTTTGCTTTTATCTTGGTGTTTGGTATGGTTTCCTTGTTTGATTTAATATTAAATGGGCTTTAAGCTGAAGTAGAGACAATTTTTTTTTCACATTCTGGCCAATACGTAGTCTATCATCTAAATATGTTGGAATTACAATTTTATTTTCTGCTTCTTCCGCATTTTCTGAAACTCATTTAGGCGCTAATGAAGTTTTGTCGTCGAGTGGAGTGAAGAGATTGGCATGAATCTGTGACAAATGATTGTGAGAATAAGTGAGGAGGCTCTCTTCACTCCAATCGATGACAATAAAAATTTATCTGTAAGTAAATGGTATCTTAATATTACAGATGTACATACCACGACGAATTTTTCATTCCAAAACATGTTGATTGGAAGATTATTGGTATTTTTAATTCATTCTTGTTAATCCTGAGGCTTTGGTACAAGATGGAACCAAAATGCATTCTTAAACATTTATTTTGTATAATTCGACAATTCCACTGAGATAATGTGGAATTTTATTTTTAATCATCATCAACGAAAGGAGATCATGTCACGTCTTTCAGATAGATTGTTATTTTCAAAAATTGTATTTTATTGATAGAAAAGAGTTGATTCTGTCGAATTAACAGGAAATAGAGCTAGGTACTAGAATTTTTATTTCTTTCGTGAAATTATTATTTTTTTTCTACCTCTTCAAAGGCACATTCAAATGAAATTCATGTAAAGCTCAGTTTGGTGATTATGTGTGTGGGTGCGGATGTGTGTGTGTGTGTGCCTCGATTCCCCAGAAACTGTAGTTTTTTCTTTAATAATAAAAGCTATTGAAAAATTGTACAGATTACGAGATCTGTTGTTATTTATCCTGATCGACATCATCCAACTCTCTCCTAGTTCCCATCGAAAATATTCAACATTAAAATTTTTTTTTGGATTTTTGATAGATTTTTTTCGAATTTTTTTGGTTTTTTCTTTTTGACTGATGAATGAGTAGTAGATTGGACACTGAATTACGTTAACTTTAGGCCGTATAGTACGAGACACTGCTGTTGATTATCCATTAATATTCAATTGAAAAAGGCGGCAATTTGAATTTTCACTCGGTACTGATGGTTATGGTTATTATTTAGGTGGAGGGAAAAATTATTTGATCTTCAATGCCTTTTTGCAATTGAACAAAATTGAATCGTCAAATTTTTAATCATCTTTTTTGCCTGCTGAATATTCAATGAAAGATTACGACCAAAGGCTTAGGTAAAATTGTCTAATGAGCAAACTAAGGAGGATCACCCTCAAATATCTCCGCTGGGATATGTTAAGCTAATTTAAAGGTATTACTTTCGCACCATTTTTAAGGGCTAAACGACGTAACTAACAGTACTCATTTAGTTAACAATTATTAAACATGAAATCGAAATAAGCTCCTCGCGTCTCGCTAATTACAAATGTTTTGACTTCAATATCAGTGAGTGGTTTCAGTTGTTCTTTTCACTTACAATAAGTCTTGAAAAAAATGTCTAAATTTTACCATTTAAATTATTGAGATTGCTTAATCTGTTTCTACTTTCACGAAGTTGCTGTAAAAAATTTCTCAAAATTAGCAGATGCGTGAGGGAAGCGTCAATTTAACATTCAATTTGTCATTTTTAAAGTTCCACCTCCTCTGATATTTACAAGAATTTTTTTACAGATGACACAAATCCGCATTAAATTCTCCAATCACTCCTACGAATTCGATTAATCAGATTGTATTGTTTTCTAGTGTTTCAGTCCTTCAGAGAGTCATTCCCGTTCGGCGTAAATGAAAATATTAAATGCACTTTGTTAATTATTGGTCAAAGATTGACTTCGAAATGACACAGTGTGAGAATTAGACGAGCGATAATTAAATTTAAGTGCTTCAACGATAAATGGTGGGTTATAGCGATGGCCTCGAAGTAAAATTGATAAATTTCGGTTCTTTTATCCGAATATGGACGGCCAATTATAAATAACGCTAACAATAATTTCATTCAATTAAAACGCAAAAAAGAATAATAATTTGTTATCTGCATAACTCGATTGTCTTCAAATAAAATTATTGAATAAACCCTAAAATAATGAGTGCGAATTGTTCTCCGTGGTGATTATTTCGCGAATTGCAGAATGACTGAATAAAAATAGAGGATAATCTTATCAGCAGTGACTTCATTACCGTCACAATTAAACCCGGAAAATTAAGCGTCAATAATTGATTGTAATTACGGAAGTATTTTCAGACCACTGGAAATTCATTCGGTGAGATAAATCGCGTGAAAATATGGGGAACCATCACTTGATTTTGATGGAATATTTAAATTTGAATTTATTAGATAATAAAAGTCATTAACGTTGGTAGAAGTATTTTCATTCATTAGATAATTGCCTCGAAGCTGTTTAACCCACCTTGATAAGCGAGAGATAAAAATAGAAGGAGAATTGTTACTTTAGGTTGATTTGCATGTGTGCGTATTTATTGTAGCCCTTAAGATTGAATTATAGGAAGTCAGCGATTTAATGCTTGCTTCGTTCATTTATTTGGTCAATAAAATTAATTTTGTGGTGAAATGCAACGAAATATTTATGTTTTTTTTTATTATTCAGTGAGAATGTCACCAAATTCATTGGAAAAATTCACATGATCAATTTGTTGCTGAGGAAAACGTTGAAAAATGCGAATTGTGTTGCATTTCACCGCAAATTTCACTCAATTAAATAAATCAAGATCGGAAATAAACTGAATGATCTCGTCGTCAGTGCGATCATTAAATATTATTTCTAATTATTTAAACTTGACTCGCGATTTATCATCGCTCACTCCATGAATTAGAAAAAGACGTGGAACAAATCCTAATTGCTAAGAATATCTCTTGAGCAATTTCATTAATGTTCAACGCTTCCACTAATTGTTTTTAACGGAATTAATTCTGTCATATTCATTCAGTTATTTTTATGCTCATTCTCGAGAGATTCACAGACTATTATTAAATTTTTTTTCTGTATTAAACGTTCACTGTTGCTCGCTTGTTCAACAAATTCTGGAGACACCAAAATTTACACGTCATTCATTGAAAAAGGAATAATCTAATCTCTTTATGCTACGATTTATTCGTCTCGTCTTGATGATTTTCTTTCGAACTGTTTACAAACACTCATGTTTATCAAAGTTGTTGACGATGAAATTACGTATTTCAGACAGTGATTGATTCTTCATTCATTATTATCTGAATTTATTTCATTTAATCCCCAGAGAAACTATTTTCGAATTGAATTACACATGCTCGAATGATTTTAGCGTCGAGCTTTCAACTTCCCTTCCCAATTTATTTATCACAAATTGAAGTTGAGTCGAAATTTATCATTTTTTAAACGTCGATTATAGTTTTTTTGAGGATTTATTCATTTAAAAAACACAGACTAACTAAACTACACCATTTAGGTCCGACCACTGCCCTCAGAAAAACTTCACCTTCTAATTTACACTAGCCCCACCCGATCGTCAAGACGAAAATGGAAATAAGTTATCTAACTAGCCAATCTAACCATGCTATAGGAACCCTTACTAAATCCTTAATAAATTTATTAAATAAAAATACTTTGTTCTTTCTTTCTCAGCATTAAAAATGGAGTTCATAGTTTCCATCGAGTCTTAAAAGCTGCCCTGGGTCGTACTCGGTTTCATTTTCATCATTTTTCTTCTCTTTCACCAGCAATTCGATTTTTAACATTTCCTAAAGTTCAAACATTTCATTTCCATTTCATAGCCCTTTCGAATAATTTCAAATAATTTCTGCAGATCTGCAGGAATTTTTCTGTTAAATATCCTTGGGCTTTCAGAATGTTAAAAAATTGCTGTTGAATGAGGTATGGTGGGTCGAGAGCAATTCGGTGGTTATTACTCTTTAGAAAAGTAAAAATGAAACACGAGTACGACGCGCATCCCCTTTGGCCCTTCGGGCCATTCCAAACTGTCAGACAGACGGATCGCTACCGGGTGCTGATCCACTCTTGGTGCCATCAGCACCAACCCCAGTACCATCGCCATCAGCCCCTGAACCGTCGCCCCTGTACGGTGAACCGCCAGGACCCCGAGCTGACAAACCTCGGAAATCCAGATTGTACTAAAAATTTCAGGGGTTTCGTGTATTAGTCATCGAATAATTATTAATATGAATTTCAGAGAGAATCAGGAGAAGTGGAATAATTTGGAGATGGTTAAACAATCACATGAACATTCATGCCTCTAAAATCCAGTGAATTCACAAAACCCAAAATGCAGGACTCATTTTTTACGCTCTATTGTCCAATTATCTCGGTAATTATGCCACATTAGACTAAATAAACGCGATAATTAGGAGTTTACCGAATCGTAAAAATTCACCTGCAACAACGAAAGTAATTCAAAAAAAAAAGGTAGGGGATGAAATCACAGAACGACGAAATAAGCAAATAAAAAATATAAAACATTCATTTTTTACACATTGAACAATAAACTAAAAATATATACAATTATACTCCATCAATAAATTACAAAATGATAAAATAATACAGTAGAATTTCGTTATAGTCGCATCTTTCCTCGCGTTCTTTTTTCGCGTATCTTTCGGTTCTCCACTCATTCGCCCGGTGAGAACTTGAATCCGGAGTAAAATTACCGAATGAAATAAGCGATTGTAACGGAAGTCTACTGTAGAATAATACAAAATTTCTGGGTATCTACAAATCAGTCATCGAATAAAAAATTATCTCGATCCGTTTACTTTATTCAAGTGATAAAAAAAATCAATAAAAAACATAAACAAATGGTAATAAATAAATGAGAATTAGAGAGAGATGTGAAATAAAGTTTTTAGAAGGATAAGGCACTCCTATTGGAACAGGGACATGTCCCTCACCTTTGTTGCACACTCAAAGCAGGTGGTCACAACCTTCGATATAACATTCATTAAATTTTTTGTTTCCTGAATGACATTATCCACTTTAGTGAATGTTGCTGCTTTGCCAACTGTTGGATTTTTAACAGTGAATTGGAGTTGCTGTACGTACGTTGGCACACGATCCAAATTTTCAAGCAAATCTTTTTTGTGAGGACCACCCGGCACCTGAACAATCAAAAGTCAAACCAATTTCAATGGCCGAATCCTCGCAGATAATCTCCACAACAATTTAATTGTGTACCTGGTAACTGAATTGTCTAACGACTTTGTACAATCTATTGGCCTCCTCAGCGAAATATTCAGCCTGCGTGAAGAGATCCTGGGTAGTCTTAAGTGCACCTTCACCACGTGTAAACTGATACATGGAGAAGGCCATGGAAGACATGTTTTTCGCCCTTTTTACAATGTCATTATTCTCCTCCAGGGCAGAACCACTCTCCTGCCACTTTTCAGTCTCTGCGTCCATTTCTGATGTTATTAATTTCATTTCAAGTCCTGCTTTCGCTATTTTCGCTTGCTCCTCGCTATCTAGGCGGACTGGTTTCAATGGCTTACTTGTTGTTCCGTGTTTCTGGATAAATAATCAATTGGCAATTGATCTCTGAACTCAAATTGAACTCCAACCGAACAAAATTCATGAACTTTTCGAAAACTTACACCTGGCCTAGGTAGAGACATATAAACTTGCTTTTCCGGTCGACTCTGACTCAATTCTAAAACATCTTTAGCTACTGTTGTCACGTCTGACATGATCCACTGCCACATATCAGCAAAGACTGCAATAAAAATGCAAATGAGACGTGAGAGAAAATTTATCACCAATAATAATCCCACCATCTCAAATTAATGAATGCTGTCATCAAAATGAGAACAAAAGGAATGTACTCGGTGAGAATGCCCCTCACCCCTACCTTCAAGATTTTCCTTGGCAATTTTACTCGTGGGATATCTTGCAAGGGTGTGCGCAGCTGTTACCACTTGTGGTCCATAAATTCTCAAATTAATCTCCGTGAACTTAGCCGATACCTGCAGTGACTCTGACAGGGCAATATGCCTGAGTAATTTGCAGACTTCGAGAATATGCTCGAGATATTCGCGAAATCGATCACTACTCTCCTGGAGTCGATCGATTTCACTCGCAAGAGCTAAATTTCTGATGGTTGCCACCAATTCCTGACCAGCTTTGGTCACTTGACCGAGATCACCAGCTTGCTCCATTGTGGTCGTGACTAATTGCTGCCTGAGGTCTCTAGTGGCTCTGAGCACACCCAGAACGGCCTGTTCTAGCTCAGAATTTGGTGAGCCCGGTGCATTATCAAAAGTTTGCTGAAATCGAATTAATTATCGAAAGAATTCAAATGACTTCCGGTTAAATGAACGTGAAAGCGATGAGGTATTCCGCCAAATCATTAATTCAGAGAACATTCACAAGAATTTATGCTTACCACAATCTTCATTCATTCTTCATTCAGCAATATTTCCCGAAAATTCCCGCACTACTCATTAATAATTATGAATTTGTAATTACCATACTGTTGCTAACTCTCAACAAGGTATTGAGCTCTAGCTTGGCTCGATCACACAAGAGTAAAATATTCTCTCGGTGCTCGTGACTCGTGTAAGCACTATCAGTGAAGTCTTGTGTTCTCTCCACTACAGTATCCAAAGCTGACGTCAATGTATTTCTGCATCCAGGTACCATTAGCGTCATCCTGGTGGTTTCCACCAGTCGTTCAAAGTGCTTTAAGGCTGAGCAAACGGTACTGCTATCCCAATCTTGGTGCTGAGGGCTCTGAAAGAATCAGACCTATTTTTTATGGCAATCCATCGGCTCCGAGAGCCATTAGTCTTCCCATCGCGCTCGTTTTAAATGCTTCGAGAATAAATCGTGCTGAAGGGTCGGCGTGGGAGGATGAAGATAATCCGCGGATTGTCTCCAATGGAGTCGTCCGCGAGAGCAAGGGGAAGTGATTTATCTTTTCATATCGATATTTGAAAAAATGTAAAACTCCTATTTCAATCCTCGTACACCATTTTTACGGATTTATTTTATGTAAAATTCAGAATTTCTATCGTTATTCACGAGATCGAAGTTCTTTTTTTATATCAGTATCAATACAATGTATTTACTTTCTCTCGTTTCTCTCAAATAACAAGTTATTATTTATATCTGTCAATTATTTTGGTCTGGAATTGATTGAATTACGCGCACATGATCCCATGGACGCCTATCAATTTTAATTAGTTTATTAATTTTCCGGCATTTAGCCTGTCTTCATCATTGCATTCGATTCAGTGGTTTGCAATCATGGAAATTATACAACCAGAATGCAATTGTAGTTAATTGACTTCGTGGTTAATTTGTTCTAGGGTTTTTTTATTACGTTTCTCGTGAAATGAATAAGTTGCAGAGGATTTCATTGTAATTGACGTGCAGTTACTTTTTTTACGATCCTGACCTCTTTCAGATAGAAGTGATTTATCTAGTGCCATCTTTATTGGGAACAATGTGGTATTTTTATTACTCGATGTGTGTCTTTTTACAACAGCAACAGAAGGTTTGAGCTGCAGTTTACTCGAGACTCTGAGGTTCTAGACTAATGGACAGCCAGCGATGAAAGAGAAAAATCAATGTCAAGTGGATGAGAGTGAGGTACGGTACAAACCTGAGAGTTTGAGCACGACTGTGATTCACTACAGTTAAGTACACCATCCTTGACTACGTAGTGAATTAAATCCATTGCTCGTCTCATCTGGCAAAATATAGTGTCACGATTTTCCCGGGCTGACCGACACTCGGGATGCCTCAAGCAAGCTTTACTTGATGTTAGAAGCATCATTGTACTACGCTCGAGTACTTGTCGTGCCGCTGCCATCTGTGCTCTTCTTCTCTCGTCCTTTAGATCGTTCTGCAATTCAATTAATTTTTATTATTGGATTTGATGGCTTGAGGTTTTCCTCTTTGATGAAGATAAGTGAGAGATTTTGAGGGCTTTCTAGAGTATTCGTCGGAGGAGTTCAGAGGGAGAGATTTTACCATGAAAAGTAAGACGGAAATCTTTTCAATTTCACAAGAAAGGAAATTGGGGCTTCCAGACGAGATTTTTTGAGATACCCCTGAAGAAAGGAAGCTGAAGAATCTCGTAGAGAATTGTATGGATTACAAAAAATATCTTCCAACACAGATCCGATTATTTTGAAAAGCTTTTGTTCTCCGGCGATGCTGGAATTATGAGCTGTGTTAATTTGCCTTTTTATCCGTCATTCTTCCGTGAATGGTCTCTGATTTTTTTTTTTTTGATGATGTGGCTTCGGGGATATCCTCCGACTAATACCCACAATCAAAAAAATTCTTCATCCTCACCTGTCTGTCTCCTGTCAGATGCGCCAGCTCGACCATTTCAGCCCCAAACTGACTGAATGCTTTCACAAATTCCGTAAAATTTGATACACCCTCGAGCCTGCCGAGACTACGTGCCACTTTATCTTTGACAAAGATCAGTTGTTTGATAACAACAATGTCAGCTAGCAACAGGACACGAGTCACTGAGCCAAGAAGACATCGAGCTGCTCGCACCACTAATCCTCTGTCAGCCAAGCTGCTGTCTTCCACAGCACATTCGCACAATTTCTCTATTGTTGAACCTAAAATAAATAAACCGTCCTAATTTCATAGCAATTACTCCTAAATTAATTACTTCAGTATTATTAATGAGAGGTAGAAATATTTGAATGACATATTTTAATACTTTCCTTGCACTTAAATAGAATTCATTAAAATCACTTACCAGCTACTCGTGCCTCTTTGCACGCCTCGTACATTGCCTGCTTGATTTCTGGATTGTCATCTGCAATTGTTTCTCCAACAGTAACAAATCTCTCGACAGCGAGATTCACTGCCTGTCCAACCCTCGCAACAGCCCGTAGGCTCCGATCGGAACATAGTGGTCGTTCCCTATGCGATACGAGAGTCGAAATCTGCAGGCAAAATTACCGGATGCCATTGAAGAGAATAACACTCACTACCGATATTACGATTATTATTCACATATTAGTGTTGTTTACTTAAAAATTGTTGATTATGCGAAGCTGTTTCGATCCCGTGATTGTGAATTTGTGACTGTGCGTGTGTGGAGGCATTTTGTGAGATAGCAGGCGATAATATGTGTGAATCATGATTTCGTTTATATTCTTCAGTACTACTTCACTGGTATTGGGTTTTCTAATGAGGAGATTTTATCCTCCTATGATTTATGGCCTATGACTAGAAAAAGGAGTTTTGAGTGATTAGTTTTGTGTTTTGTGATGCGATCTGTTTTTCGATTGATTTTTTAAATTGAAATGAAGAGATTTGTGGGGATTTTTCATTTTTTTTTTGTGCTATCGATGGAATTGGAGATAAATCTGTTGATTTCAATTTTTTTTTTTCAATGATAACAACACAAATTGTACCCTCGGCCCACATTCAACTAAACGATTAAGCCCTCAACTCCGCAGTAATGATTTTGCTCAAATGATAATAATGGAATTAGTAAAAATTTGATTTTTTTTCATTATTAAAAATGTCAGCAGCGACTTCTAAGCAGCTCAGTCAGCCATTGACACCAATCTAGCCATCCTAATGACGATCTTCTCATGTTGCATAAATTATTCAGCTAAAATAATTGTGCACTGGAGTATATTTCTCCTCTAATAAAATCAACGAAAAAGGTGATACTCCACAGAATAATAATAAATAATTCTCACCAATGAAATAAAAAATCAAACTTCTATAAACAAAACCGATAACAAACGGATATACTGAGAGAATTGAATCGTTTATTCCCCTTCATTCCTTTATTTTTAAATCTCTCCATGAATCTTTTTATTTTAAAATGGAGAGACAACATGCACTATTGAGCGCAGAAACAAAGAGCCATACCTGATGGTCAGTAGCCATTCCTCCTTCGTACATTTTCAACTTGATTTATTTTATTTAATACTCTTTATTTCTCTAGCCTCTGACAATACGAGAATGCTGTCCTTCTATTATTAACGTAACGAATTCCCTTTCGTCTCTCTCTCTCTTTTTCAGGATTTATCACTTGATAAAAATTATTCCTCTATCAGTCTCAGGCAAAAAACGAAATGCAAATCAGTCAGTCACTTATCAATTATCGATGAGAGAAAATTCTCCCTTTGTTCAACTGGCAAATTATATTATTTATCTCTCTCAATTATTCTCATTTGTTATTCATTAAAATAGACTCTCAATCAACAACATCATTTTCTACGTAGATATGTGCATTCATAGACGTGTACTTTATCAGTTATTTTTTTATTTTATTTATTTTCTGACGTTTTATTTATCTTCATCACTTTTATTTGATTTCGGTGCTTTGCGATCGTCGCAATTATTTAACTAGTGTCTTGTCGGTGTAAGCGTGGGGCGGGGAAAAATAGTCAAGTGATTTATTTATTATTTTAGATAATTAATCTGTGGATTTATTGATTCTGGAAAATCTCTTCTTTATTATTGCCCTTCTCCTAGGTCTATCTTTGCCTGATGCTGTGTATTTCGTCAACAGGTGAAACTATCAACAGTTCGCTATATTTATTTCTTCTTATGTTCATTTAATATTGAATAAAAAAATTCTTTTACTGCCAATTTCGACGTTTTTTTATTGAATTTTGAAGGCAATTTCTTTGTGATTGACTTGCAGCGATATGTTCCACGTTTCTGATCTCTTCTCGCACAATTTCTGATGTATTACCACTGTTCTCTCTCTGTTTTTTCAAATCCTCAATTATTTTATAATATTGTTGATTAATTTTTGAGGATTATATCGTCTAAATCCAGGGATAAATTGCTTTCATCAAAAACATCAACTTCATATCGTGGCTCATTAATTAATTGCTTTCTCATCCGCCTGAAGTCTGTATTGTCAATGGATACCTGATGCTTCTATCTCTAACTCATCTATCAAAGTATTTCCCAGAGTTCTCTGCATCCAGCAGGATAAATAAATTCCAATTATCCTAGTGAACTTTCAACATCAATAGTCACTTTATCAATTGATCGTGGACTCTGGATCCTATTAGTCTCATCAAAAAATAGTTATCAATTTGGAACATGTGCTTCGAGTAAACAGGCCCCAGTGTCTCGTTCGTTATTAATCGATTCCATTGAATTTCTCATCATCGAATTATCGTAGCTCAACGATTATTGCTCTTCACGTCTTGAGCGACACTCATGGCTCTCCCCAATGATTTCCATTCATAAATATTCAATTTGATCACTCAAACGCAGCTGATCACACCTGATTCCACTCAAAAAAATGATATCGAAAAAAAATTCAAAAAAAAACGAAGCAATTCCAGAAATTTGGAAATAATAATTCGTCTCAGGAAAAAAATAATGTCAATTTATCTCGGTTTTAATTGATTGGAGAATTCGAATCGACGATTAATTATCGGTCTCTTGTATCGTGTGGTTATCGTTAATTCAGGGAGTGTTATTTATCCAAATAGTTTATAATAATAAATATTTTATCTTTTGAAATAAATGGTACTAGGTACTGGCCTGCCGAGTGCCTAGGGAAGACTGAGGAATACCAGAGCGGCGCCCCCGCAGTTCCAACTAGGTGGGGTAAAATGTTTTGGGGGCTGCGGGGGGGTGAGGGTGAAATTGTTGCGATGCTAGCAATACTGAGGCACGTGGGATAGACGAGGACAGGTGTGCGCGGTTTTGACGTTTTACGGTGTAGAGTCCGTACAAACTAAGTGATAGTGGAGTAGAAGGGAAGGGGTCTGCACAATGCGCATCCTCGTGGACAAATCAATACATCCAGCAACCCCCAGGCCCATGAATGTCAATATTTCGTTTTACCTCTTCTCAAAACCTCGGGGCAAAATCGCTCACTTCAAACTCCCCATCCTCGCGCCAAAATCATTTCGCGGGTTTTGCCGATCAATTTCACGGTTTTTTTTTTCTTTTGTTATTTCGCGGATACATTGACCGAAAAAATTGGAAAAATCAAACAACTCTCTCATGAATGGAAATATTTAGGTTCATTTTTTTTTTTGCAGAATGCGGATCATTTTTGCGGAATTTCGCGGATTTTTATCAGTGATTGCGAAAAATTATGGGGAGTGGATCAATTTTATTGTGAGGACTGGGATGATTATTTATTTAGTAATCCGGTCTGTCTACCCAACCCCTACTGTGGATGAAGGTTCTCAGGAAAATTTCGCAAGCTCACTGATCAAATCCAAAGATATTCGCGAGGGACGGCTAGCAGTTCCCTTATCTGTCCCTTCCACTTCACCGATTCGTGTTCTGAATTCCGCGATTACCCAGAAATTGAGTGGTTCTACACGAAAATATCGGAACTTTGCTTAAACCGCTCACCATAAAGATAACTACTAAGATAATCCGAGAAAAAAATGTTGAGCTGTTCCGCAAAGTTCCGCTAATTTTCGTATTCAGATTTTTATCTCAAACGGAAATTTCATTGCGAGCTGAACTTTTTTCTCTGAGTAAAATGTGGAGTTATTGCTCCTCGCTTCATGGCTTTTACTGGCATTTTGTTTGCTGGTTTATCTTATCGGAGTAGTCGTTACTTTTGTGAAGTTTTTAAAAGTTCGGGAGTGCGTAATAATGAAACTTGTTATGAGCAAACCCATTTTGCTTCAGCAGTTCGCGAGATACTAGATGTTGTAGTTTGGAAGAAAACTTTGTTACTGGGTATCTCGTGTATTCGAGAAAGAGGGGCTGAGGGATGAAGGGGGATGAAGAGGGATGAAGGGGGTGGTAGGAAGCTTTGGAGACGGAAATTCCCCGGACTTTCCGTTGAGCTACTTATCGACTCCGACTCCCCTTTTCACTCGACTTTTTTTTTCCCGTGAAAGGTGAAAGGAAAATTGAGTTATTTACTCTGAAAGTCTTCGCATTGTTTGTCCCCCTTGGGAGCCCTGAATCGGTACTGATTACCCAGTGGCGCGATTTTTCATCCCGACGACAGTCTTCAGGGGATTCCCAACCAAAAGCCATCAGAAACTCATTTTTCCCGGATAAAACTCAGAAATTTAAACGAAAGCTGACGTATCGTCGCGTTCTGCAGTGAAAGTCGAATATTCGAGGGAAAAATCGCACGAAGTTTCTCGATTGAAACCTCTGGCGGTTCCAACCTAAAATCGAGTATTTATTCGATTCAACTGGAATGGCCGTAACCTGATTCGAGGAAAGCTATTTCGGTATTCAAGAAGTTTTTTGTATCAACAATGATTTTTTTAAGAGAACTTCAAAGCCGACTTCACAGCGACTTTTTTTGGGGAATTTTCTTTTAAATTTTTTACGCGTCATTATAATTTTTTGGTGGCAGTACGAAAGGCATTTTGAATAATCGTGTATCATGAATAATCGACTCAAAATCGAGTGATCATTGCTAGTGATGCCGTGATAATAGACTCGTTAATACCCTTGAGCCGCGTAATTGAGGACGGATTATTTAGGTGATAAAATCAATGGCACAGTTGATAATCTTTCACTCGGGAAATGCACCTGTGGATTTTACTTGTGTAATAATTCTCTCTCTGTCTGACCCAGAGGATAACCACACCGGTGGTGTGGGTAGACCGTAATTCACTCACGTGAAATCGAATGCCGAATATTATTTCTCTCGTTTTCATTCGAGTCAACGCTTTATCCTCGAATAGCCCGAGCTTCGAGATCGTTGAAATATATTTTTTCTACAGAATGCGCGGATAACAGAGAGCCGCGGAATTTTATCAATGAAATTCTCCAATTTCGCTCGGAAATTCCGAGCGGTATTCCAGGTATTTAAATTATCCGGGGGAGAAGTTGGGGAAAAGGAAATGGATGGAATTTAATATTCCAGGATTTCGTATTAACTGTTAAATTAGAAATTGATGAAATCGTAATCTGAATCTACTATTTCTCCCGAGGAGATCACAGGATTAATTTTTGCAGAATTTCGCAATGGATCAATCAGAGCAGTCATAATTAAAGCAATTAAAAATGATCACTTCCAATTGTTTTTCTAATCTTCCACTGTTCACGAAATTTTTTAATGAGAATCTAAAGTAATTCCTATTCTTACCCCGTAATTCCACTCAACGTCAGACGATGAAATCGATCAATTCAACTAGAAAGTGATAAAAGCTAAAAGAAAAGACTCCATAACCATTCGCACCCCTAAAAATACCTCTCGCTACAATCGACGCCTCATAAACACCACAAAGTCACTGAGTATTGAGCGCATGCCCCAGAAATCTGTCAAACACTATTCCACTCTCATTTCCGCTTTTGCCCGTAACCCGCCTATTATTGGATCGTCGAAAAAATTGATCAGCCGGTAGATACGTCACCCCGGAGGCCGCCCCACCAGGAGCCGACACCAGAGGCAAACCCCAAGAAAACCCCAAAATCCAAAAAAAAAAACCGACGAATTCCAATATTCGAGACTACATAATTGATAATAATTTATAAAAACAACCAAAATAAATTCCACCAAAACGTGAATACATTCTACGCGACGTCTGATCACTGACTGCCGTAATCACTCACAAAATACCTCCTCTCGGGGTTTTCGACTTAAAAAAAATTATTATTTTTCCAGTTAATATTTGAATTTCACTTGATGATTCACTTGAATTTCACGATTACAATTTTTTCAACTCATTCCACCCCTGCATGACACTCAATAGGTTATGTGCAACACCAATAGATCAGGAAGAAAAGAAGAAAAAAAAAGGAAGATATGAAAGTGACGAGTGCTCTCAAGATACAAAAGAAATTGTGCGAAGAGTTCATGGATAACGTGATAAAACGAATAACAATATCCGGTTTCCTGTCACCGTTTTATTTCGACTCGTGTCTTACCTGTTTGACTAGTGGGAGTAGTGTCTGTTCTATGCTACGGGTCTTAATCTCTAGGGTTGCTGGGTCTACGGGGTCGGGTGTCTCCATGACTCGGTGGAGAAAAACTTCTGACTATATTTCGATTTCTGTGTGTGTGTTATATATATTTTTCTCTCGTTTTCTCCCGACGAGTCCGAGGCCCCCGAGAGATGAGCCAACGAAGGTTCGTTGCACCCCGGCCCCCTCCACCCTTGCCACCCTTATCCCACGAGTGACGAGTGACTGTGGATTGCCTTCCGTGGTTAATCATCGGGGTGGACGCAGCGCCCCGACGCCGACGTGGCGACGCCACCAAGTCCCCGACGACGCTCGTCGCATCCATTTTCCGACTCATCGCGACATCTTCCGGGGGAAAATCCAGACCCCGGACACTGGGAAAAACAAATTATTTTGCCAAAGATATTGACTAAGAAAATATATTTGGCAAAATATTTTTTTTCTCAGGGCACCAGCCGCCGATTTTTTTTTTTATGAAATTGTAGATTGTCGTTAGAAGATTGTCGATTACGCATGATTTCAATGAATCATTGAATTGGGAGTGTATAAAACTGAAAAGTCTTTGCCAAAAAAAAATTGCAACGGAAATTTGATAATTCAGTTGTGGAGAACGTGAGGTACTTTGCAATTTTAAATTCGTAATTTGAGAGATGGAGAACTAGTTTATAAACTATTTCATTTTGAAAATATTTTCATTCGATAATTGTTGTGAGAGTCAATTTTTCCTGGTTCTCTGGTATTGTATGAATAATATCACGTCATCTGAATTTGAAATTGAAATTAGATTCAAATGCTAATTGATAGATTTCCAACAAAAAAACTGAATTCTCGATTTCATCAATAGGAGACGATTTTTCAACAGATCCCCGAAGAATGAGGAATTGGCTACGAAGTTCCGATTATGTAATTCTCGTATTCGTGATATCTTTGCTGTTGGGCGAGAATTCTAAAATTAACTCATTGAACTTGACTTATATGTCGAGGATAGGAAACCCCGAGTATCCATCGGCTTCGTCGTCTCCACGACTCGTGCAAAATCCGGTCAAACAAATATTTCGAAATCATCAATTTTTTGCTGACTCATGCTCACAGGTTATCATCGAAAATTTTTCATTCACTCTGTAATTGATATCTTATCCCGAACACTTTGAGGCATGATCTGCAACAAATTGACACGTGCATCAACTGAACAACAGTTATTGTACCGAAGGCTAATTGACATTTCCTCGTAGACAACCGATAGTTACTAAAACAACCGGAAATGTAGCCTGAAATCACCGAACAAAGCAAAAAAAAAGTCCAACTCATCACGCGGTGGATAAAGCCTTCATTTTTCTGGAGAATCTGAATTAGTCTGAATACTCAATTGACGGAAATAATTTTTTCCCTACGAGAAAAATTCCATTTCCTTGATCCACACATAGAGATAATTAAATAAACAATTACTCGTTACACCAATTCAATCGGACACATCATTCGCCGATTTTTCCCTCAATTCTGGAATACATCCGTCAGAGTTTCGTGACTTATTTCAATTGAAAACATAATTATAGCAGAAAATTCCTAGAGTTCGGGGATTTATCCTTCGAAGAATCATTTTTCCCCGTGCGTCAGAAAAATTGTCCTAACAAGAAGAAGCAACCGACAAAACTAGTTGGAGTAATCGATCATCGTGCCTCAACTAATTGGCACATTGAACCTCGGCGATTAGATTTCCGTCTGGTGTGCAGCCCTTCTCCCCACTCATCCCAAACTTGAGGAGCTCAATACAAACAAGTCCGTAAGAATGTAACAACGTTCTCGAACAAACACTGAAACAATATTCCGTAGCGAGTGTCTAGGAATAACTAATCCGTAACGATTCACTGGTGCTTGGAGGTAGTGGGGCCAAGTGGATTGTGCAATACGCATCAGTGAGGAGGGGACTATCACACAATTTTCTCATGTTCGTCATTACTAAATGATCGAATGCGTGCGACGACCGAGAAAGTGGACATCTGAAATTTCATTGCCACAACTGCCAGTGAAAGTGAAGCGTTTTAGAATAATCAAATAAAAGTGCGAAGCAATGAAGTTGGAATTCTGCCTAGTCCTTTTACATATTCTGCTGCTATCACCTCTCCCTTCAACATCAGAATCATCTGATAAAAGACTCCGGATTTTGGGGGCCTTCGCTCACCCTGGAAAAAGTCACTTCGCTGTCTTCAAACCACTTCTGGAAGAGCTAGCCAATCGTGGCCACGACGTGACAGTTATCTCGTACTTCCCCAGAAGCAACTCATCACCACCGCTGCCAAATTACAAAGACATCGATCTTGCTGGTGAAGACAACATCTTCGTGGAGGTCGTGGACTTGCAGACATTGGATTACTCTCTCCTGAGAGAATTCATGCTTCTTCGTCACTGGGGTCTGGAGTGCTGCCAACGGAGTTTGGACAACAAAGATGTCCAGAGGCTCATAAAGTCCAATGCCAAGTTCGATCTCATTATTACAGAAGTATTCAACAGCGACTGCTTTCTCGGATTTGTCCATCGGTTTAAAGCACCATTCATTGGTTTATCCTCCCACGTACTCATGCCCTGGGCCAATGGTAGGCTCTCCAACGAACGCAATCCAAGTTATGTGCCAATTTTATTTCTGGGATATGGGCCAAAAATGGGGTTTATGGAGAGAGTTGAGAATTATCTTGCCCACAAGATCTTTAACTTTGCTTATGGGGTGTTCTGTAATGGACCGACGCAGAAGCTCGTGGAGGAGGCGTTTGGACCCAATGTGCCAGCTCTTGATGACATTGCCAAGAATATTTCAGCGATTCTTGTGAATTCGCACTATTCCCTGCATGGAGCTGCGCCAAATCTACCGAATATTGTGGAAGTGGGGGGTCTCCATATCCCAGAGAAGCACCAGCCATTGCCTGCGGATATTCAGAAGTTCCTCGATGATGCCAGTGAAGGGGTTGTCTTTTTCAGTTGGGGATCCATGATCAAGGCTAGCTCCATGGATCAGCGCACTTTGGGGGAGGTTCTCCAGGCTCTCGGAAGTATTCCCTGGAAGGTTCTTTGGAAGTGGGAGGATGAACATCTCCCTGGCAAGCCGGATAATGTCATGGTCAAGAAGTGGGTGCCGCAAGCTGCTATTCTTCGTGAGTTGATTAGATTGATTAATCTTGATTATTGGTATTGACTGGGCGGGAGTGGTGGTATTAATTTTTCAGAGAACTATCCGTGATCTCGGAGTGATGGAATCCAAAGCTCTTCTTTGTATTCAGTAGACGAGATATTTCTTCGCATACCATTTTTCCTCATTTTTCTGGTATTCTGGTTGAGATAAGAAGCTGATAAAAAGTTTCCACTCAGGGCTCGACGATAAAGATTATTTGTTCAGAATTATTTTTCATGTCGTTTGAATTATTTCGGCAATTAATTCACAATTGAATCCTACGAATTTCATGAAATTATCTTCTTATCGTAGAAAATTCTTTTATCACGTTGAAAATTCTTGTTTCCATCACGAAACTTTTTCTCTCCGTGTCCGACCAATGCACGTTCTATTTTATATCACCGACGACGTGTGTTGATATAAATTCTGTCTTGCGAAAAATATGTGTCTCTGGAAAGATATCTGAGGTAAACGACTCCTGAGACAGCAATAACGTTGGTAACAAAAAAATATAACGTATTCCCAGGCTATCACTGGTGACGCTTTATTTCAGGTCATCCCAATGTAAAATGTTATCTCGCCCATGGGGGTCTCCTCGGTCTGAGTGAGGGTGTCAGCGCTGGTGTTCCCATGGTGGTCGTACCCATGTATGGAGACCAATTTAACAATGCTGCTGCAGCTAGAAGTCGAGGTGTAGCCCAAGTTTTGGAGTGGAATAATCTGAATGGGAAAACTTTGAAAGCTGCAATTGACAGGGTATTCAATGATCCCACGTAAGTTTAAATTTCACTTCATGGATTACGTACAGTAATGAGAAAAGTTTGGGGTGATTGGAAATCACTTTTCCATCGTCAATCATTGACAAGCGTTGAATGTTCAAATTTCGAGGAATACACCTCAAAAAAATGATACCTGACAATTAGTCCAAAGGAAGTCGAAGAAAAATTGTGAATATTTCCACGAAATAAATGCATGTCAGGGATTTCCGTTTTTCCGATGAATTTTCCGATCTTGAAGTAATTTGAGTAATCGACATTTGATTTTTGATTGCAATTTTTTAAAATCGTTTTTAGATACATGGAGAACGCGAAGGCTCTTCAGAAAGTTTGGCACGATCGTCCCATGTCACCAGTAGAAACATCCGTTTGGTGGGCTGAATACGTCGGGCGTGGACAGAGCAATCAGTTTCTCAGGACAGCAGCTGCTGACCTCGCTTGGTATCAATTAGAACACTTAGATGTGATTGGTTTTCTATTGTTAATTCTTCTGGTCGTTATCTTTGCGTTTTACAAGGCACTAATTGTGATATTCAGGAAAATATTTCCACCGGAGAAGAGAGTGAACGGAAATTCATTATCCAAAAAACGAAACTAGATGAATTATTTTCAATCTAGCATGAAGTGACCGATTTTTGGGATGATTTTAATTCAGGAGGTGTTTTGTACTGGCAAGCAATAAATATTTTAATAACTGATATTCAGTTTGTCATTCGTAATTCTTAATACCTTATCATCACCGTTAAAATGTAAATGGTTTAATTAATGTTTTAATTGGATAAATCCACGCATCGAGTGTCCCTATAATCTTGATGTATTCGTGTAATTAGATCCTCAAGGTAAATATCTCGTGTCACGGAAAAGCCAGTTTAGCCATCCAGGAAGACTTTCAAACAAATATATAATTTTGATAATATCCCCCCCAATCCCTAGGCGATATTTCCGAAGATTGACGGCCCATTTGACCTTCCCCGAAGTTCGAGGATCGAACTTGTTTAATATTCATGAATAGGAAGGGCCATAGAGCTCGGCAAGCCATGGCACAATATGGGAAAAATAAAGTGAAGGGCACACCTCCGTAAATATTATGTAGAGAAGTTATTTATATCTTGCACCAGTCAATAAAGGTGAAGACTCTTCTCTGTTTTGCACCTGGCCATGCGCGTAATAATAATCATCAACTTCCTGAAGCACGCGGAGAAAAATTTGTTGTTAAGTTTATCCTGACCTGAATATCCGATTTTTTTCAATAAAAATTTCACCTAAAAATGGGATTGAGTTGACTGTAATTTTTGCTCGGTAAAGTTACAAGTGCAGTTCCAGAAATCCTGCAGGAATTTCCAGAAATCCTCCAGGAACTCGATGATTTTATCGTCGTTTAGAGGATATTTATAGGATTTTCCAGGGGCTCAGTTGTAATCAAGTGATCAGGCTGCGTACATTATGCAAGGGTTGCTTTAGGTTTCTATGGCTGTCACTGCTGTTTAACTGACGCGACACTTCACTGTTCCACCACCTGTCGTCGTGGCAACCTCTTCATATACCATTGTCCACCAGTATCGGCAAGGTACGTTCCTATTCTGCTCCTTGATTTTGAGTTGTTTTCCAGGGTTTATCCATCGTTGAGGAATAGTACGGATCAGGGAAATCATTCATTGAATTTCGAAGATCTTTTCCTGGTTTTGATTTTTTGGAGGAATTGTCGAGATTGGGTTCATGTTTCCCGGTTTGAACTTCAAAAGTTCCGCGGAATTGCGCAATTCATTCGCGGTCGAGCACTTGAATTCCGGTGGAGGCCGCGGGGTGGATTAATTTTTTTTGAGTGATTAGTGACTTTGGAGGAATGTTATCAGTGATTAAATAGTTATTTGGATAATTTTAAATAAATTTTTTTAAAGGGAAAATTGATGGAAATTAAGCCAAATTAATTTCTACGAATTTTGGAAATTTACGAAAATTTTGAAATTCATGTTGGGAATTCGCGAGAATGGCGAATTTCCATTTTTCTTCCCAATAAAAATACGAATCGCTCTTCAATATTCAGAGTAAATTGCAGTAAATAAATTTTCATTTGAAATTCAATTAGATATCAACCCCCAAAAAATTCAGCGCAAATTTTTTCAAGTGTAACACGGACGTGAAATAATTTTTCAACATCGCGTCATTTCACCCTATCATTATCGCCAGGTTTATATTTTTCGACCAATTATGTATCCTGTATTGACTGTGTTCACTGGTTTTTCTTTCTAGAATACTCGTATCGAGCTTGTTTTACTCAGCAATTTTAAAATCGATTGACTGCTGAATTTTTCTACTGACAAAATATTAGGTGGCGCACTTCGACGCGAGAATTAGTCCCGAAATGTCTCTTCCCATGACAAACATGAGTAACGGAGGCACAACGACGGTACAAATCAACACACGACCCGACGATATTCGAAAGAGAATCATCGGAGGTAAAACAAATAGAAAAAATATATATATATAATAAATAAATTCACTCCCAGACAGTAAAAACGACATGTCTAGGAAGAATCGTATTTTCAGTCACAATAAAATTTTTTTAAGCCGTCATAACGATTTTCATCTCAGAATGAAATTTTCTACAATTTTTCTCCACGCAAATGTCAATACCAATTCTCGATTATTTTCGGGGGAAGTAAGGGTAATTTTTTTGTCATCAGCGGAGGATTCGACGCCAGCTGATGAATCAGGATGTGGAAATGTTCTAGTGGTACTGTCTTGGGTACTCGTGGTGATGACAATGCCGTTTTCATTATTCGTCTGCTTCAAGGTAACCTCTCAGTTTCCGAATAATTTTGAATCAATGAGATATTAATGGGACAAATGACGTTGTGCCACCAGGTCGTTCAGGAATACGAGAGAGCAGTCATTTTTCGACTGGGGAGATTACTGTCAGGCGGCGCGAAGGGTCCGGGTGAGTCAATCCAAAAAATTAGAATGCTTCTCTAAATTGAGTCAACAACACTGAGAGAACATTCGAATTTTCAAGAACCGATCTCTAATTTCTACAAAAAAAATTAATAATTTTCCGAAATCGTAATGATTCGATCACTCACGATAGTTTATAACTCACTGAATCTTTCAAACGCTCCGCGATTCACAGGACTTAATTATAGCTAATTAAATAACTCAATTATTTACCCTATTTACTTCGCAATTAAAAATAGAATAATCCTTGGAAATAACTGAGAGGAAAATGCTCGTAAATGCAGAGTTATTTCCTAGACTTTTACGATTCGCCAAAAATAAAAACCTTTTTTCTGAGTGAACCTAGTCCATCAAGGACAATCGGTAATCCGACTATTATTATTCCAGGCATTTTCTTCATCCTGCCCTGCATTGATTGCTATGCACGGGTAGATTTACGTACACGTACTTACGACGTGCCACCGCAAGAGGTATATTGCATTATCTAACAATCACCAAAGTTATATTATCCTGTTGGCTATCTCGAAACTCGGATTTTCATTAATTACCGACCTGTGGTTTACAGTGATTAAGGAACCTGAGAATTTTCAATTTATGATTATACCGGTTCAATCATCGCGTCGGGATGAACATGAAAATTCATTGCAAAATATGGAAAACAGCTAGATATGTGAAAAAACTTCATAACAATTATTTTCACATCACGAAATTCTCTACAAAAAAGGTCTCACGATGGTTTCCCTAGTCGCATAAATCTCCGAGATATTCTGGAAATAATTGTTCCGCAGTCATTATCCACTCACAAATAATTAATTTACAGAGGGTTTCACTGCCAAATACCATTAGGCCACGTGCCTCTTCATCTCATCAATAAATTATTCAAGAACTCATCGATTATTCACTCAATTCATTCGTCCACCTCGAGTACTCAAAAATTATGCGCAATGAGCTGACATTCGGGTTTACAACGACTAAATAATAAATTATGAACTTCAGGTTTTAACCAAAGACAGTGTCACCGTATCAGTCGATGCAGTGGTGTATTACCGAGTTAATAATGCAACAATATCGATTGCAAACGTGGAAAATGCTCATCATAGTACTCGATTGCTTGCCCAGACAACTTTACGAAATACAATGGGTACAAGGCCACTCCACGAAATATTGAGCGAGCGTGAAACAATATCTGGAAATATGCAGGTAATTAATTATGGGACTGAGGTGGAAGAATCAATAATTGGAATGCCTTTTTATATCGCTTCTGCCAGTGAACTCAGAGTGATCTAGATTCTCCTCACAATCCATCATCAAAGAGGTTAAGAGTAACAACTCGCATTAGTCCATAGATAAATTATCGAGTAATATCTCCGCCTCTAAGACAAATACCAGTAGTTTCGCCATGATCATCTTTTTTGCTCTCATTCTGCTCTACAAAAGCGGTCCTGAGAGCAATTTAGTCAGTAGTAAGTTTAGTTATCTCCATTGGATCCAGAGATATTCATTCATAGAGTTAAATGTCTCATGGGGATTTTTTACTCTTTGGTCGAGTCGTTACTCTTTATTTCTTCGTTGGTGAATCGATGTTGGTGTTGTTTATGGAGTGATTATATTTTTTTTTCTCGTATTGAAAATATCGAGGCTGCGTTGGACGAGGCTACCGACACATGGGGGATAAAAGTGGAGCGAGTGGAAATGTTAGTAAACATGCAATTTATTTTCTCAACCTTTTCCAGATTTCGATCGGTTTGAAATACTGATGGGTTTATCGATTTTTTTAGAAAGGATGTACGTTTGCCGGTACAGTTGCAACGAGCTATGGCAGCTGAGGCTGAGGCAGCTCGCGAAGCTCGAGCTAAGGTAATTCATCAGATTTCAGTTTCGATAAGGAAGGCGGTCATTTTACCGGAGGACGGTTCAGCCACTGATTTCGAGTGGTGATAACAAATAATTGAAATCGCTAAAATATTGCCTAGTGCTTTCGCAATTCGTGTTAAATATTTTCCCTGTATTTTCGAGGGGGTTTCGCTGTTGGTTCAACATTCGCGTGCAGAAAAATTTTCATGGAAAATTTCAATTCCAATTTCAAATCGTTGACATTATATTGGAATATCACGGGATATTCAATTCATTTTTGGAATTTATTAAGGTAATTGCGGCTGAGGGCGAGCAAAAAGCAAGTCGAGCCCTTCGAGAAGCTTCTGAAGTTATTGGGGACTCACCGGCTGCTCTCCAGCTCCGCTACCTCCAGGTGAGCACCACAAAAATGTCTCAGGATATCTGAAACAATTGTTGAAGATCAGTCTAATGAGTCCAATGAATCCTTCAATATTTCGATTAAAAAAACAAAGTCAACTCCTAGAGATTAATTTCACGTATAACCACCTCATAGATGATAAAGAATTTTTCAGAGCCAAAAAAAATTGAAAATGATTAAAAAAATCCAAAATTCAACGTAAAAATGACAATTAATTTTTTTTTCAGACACTCAACACGATTTCAGCAGAGAAGAATTCCACAATCGTCTTTCCATTACCAATCGACATGCTCACATACTTCATGTCAGCAAATAAAGATAAATAGATACAACTCACCTGTGATTTTGTACGTCGCCTATTCACCGATCGGCAATAGTTTTTATAAACAAAACAAAACCCACACGGAATTATCATGTTTTTGAGGGTCTTTATGTGTTGTTTTTCACTTTTTCATACGATGAGGAATGAATCAAACGAGAATTTATCACTCACGTTGGCATTAGCACTATTCCAGGACGATTTTTCAGTAATTGCCGGTCATAAATAAATCACGACGCACGATATTTTGTAAATGTATCATGTATTATATGTAATATTGTCCAATTATAAATACCTAAGGAATTTTCAGTAGCACCATTTTAATTTATCAATAAAAAATACCGTAAAATAATTACACACCGAGTTATTCCATTATTAACCCGTTGTTCCGATAGAATGATGAAAATCGAATGTATTTAATCGTGAGAGATTTACCGGAATTAATTCGGAATTATCGATCTGTTGCAACAGGTTATTTCCAAAACGACGCGTCCATTGTTTGCACTTGACTCGTTTCATTGTCCGATTCCCGGAGAGAAAATCCCAAAATATGATCTATAAATTGATTCAATCGACTAAGCACTGTCTCTCCGTGAATTTCACACCGATTCATTGAATCAATAACGACTCGTCCCGATGGAATAAATAAAAATCGAACGGGTGACGCTTTGAGAGGTTCACAGGGGTAAATCCACGGCGATCGAACTGAAGCTATAATTTATTACCAAACCGACGCTTCATTGCTTACACTTCACTCCGTATGCACTAATTGTGGCG